AATCACAGTTACGGGGACCTGTGTCAACATCAAACCGCTTGCGATTACTCATGCAATCAATCTGAAGTCTTCTCATCAGACAGTAGTTGGCCATCAGCCACTCCATATATGCCTCCAAAATTGAAGTGCCCTCGACACTAGCCCCAGTTTACATCCGGTGAGGCTGTAAAGGTCAGGTACGCTCAGTAAAATATATTATATAAAATCATATTTACTGAGCAACGCCTATTACTCACTAAACTCATATGGGCTACATAAATAAATGATTTTTTAATTTTAATTTGAATCTGAATGATTACTTGAAATTATAATGTAAAAAATTTGATTCATATCTAACATGAACATAAACGATTTTTTAATTAGAATTTCTATTTAATATCACAATTGAAATAATTATAAAATAACAGTAATTGTACATTGAAGAGTCACTATTAAAATGGCTCTTTAAAAAAACATACAAAGCGGCTATGTGCGTAAGACCATTTTACAAAACAGGTTAAAATTGCAACAAGTAGGTATATATATAGAAAAGACCACTTCATTATTTATATTTTAGGTTAATTATTATTTACTAGCTGTGGCTGCAGTTTCATCCGCCTGAAATTCATGGGCTATATGTTATTTTGATGTATAACTTATATTATTGTAAAGTTTCATTAAAAATCTTTCAGTTGTTTTTGCGTGAACATCCATCCATATTCACTAACTTCCGCGTTTGATTTTACTAATATAATATTAGTGAAATTAGAAAGTTAAGTACTTCATTATGAATGACCACTTAAAACTTTACAAATCGATATCCAAATGTAAATGTCGTGCCTACATTGATACTCCGTTATCAGGACAATGAAATATTATCCATTAGAGCTTTAATGGCATGATTTTGTTAAAAATTCAGCGATAATGCTGCGTTTAAAGGAAGCGACGAAGACTTCACCTCACTTTCCATTAATCTCAATCAGTAACTTTCCTTTACTTATAAACAGTTAGTTTAAAATCTTTTAGCCAACTCCAGGATAAAGGGTTATAACATAATTCTGATAAAGTATTATATATATAGCAGTACATATAAAATTTTCTTATCACAATTACGATACTCCTCCGAAACGTCTTGACCGACTTTTATAAAATTTTATGTGCATATTCAGTAGATTTGAGAATCGGCTATTTATTTTTTATGCCCCTAAGAGATAAGGGTTGTCAACCCTAACATTAATTTTTGTTTTATTATTAGCACAACTCTTTTTTTTATTTTTTATAATGTTGAATTAAATTAAAAAAAATAAAAATAAAATAAAAAAAATATACTTACAACCCTAAATTTTCACCCTTTTATCACCAATCCCTATTTTTTAATAGCGATTTTAATTTATATGGCAAAACAACGTTTTGGGATCAGTTAGTAGGTATAGTATAAATACGACGTTTTTTGAAGTATCTTTTGAATACCCTTTACTAGACGATCGCTAAAAGATATATGAGTATAATAAAGAATATAAACTGGAGGTACATTTTAAATTAATATTCAACTGCCACTTCAATTCTAGCGTCAAGATCATCATAAAATCTCATAAACGCAATGCGTCTGCTTCGTCAATCAAATGTAGTTTAAGTTTAGACAAACGTTCTATTAAAAAGTCAGGTCAACAACATCACAGATAGCTAGTTATTGGACGTGTCGCCATACAATAAAGATCATACGATGAAAAAGTTCATATGAATTGGGAACTATTTGGGTCATTGAATCGTGTGGACGCTAGTTAACCATCTATGATTTTAAGGCACACATATATACGTACTATACATGTAATTGATTATATTTAGCATGACTATGCAGCATTTCATGATAGTTACGACAAAATTCTGAAGGGAGTAAATGAATGCAACAGCGCGCCGAAGTGCATTTTTTATGATCACATATCGAATGTCATACTATGCGACTACTTTACTACCAATGCAGTTTTATCCAACAAGATCTTACAAGAAACTTGACTTCTTATTCTTCGATTCTTTTTATATTAGCATCTGTATTCGAAATTGTAATTATTGAGTATTGCAGTTATGTGTGTGTGAGCATATCACGTTGTATCATGTCTGTTTTCTATGTGATCATCATTAATTATCTTGCCCTTCTATCATAATTTATTTGAATGAGCGCAGTGTACTTCTTGTTCCACATTTCCTATCAGGCGTTACATGTGAGTTTACTCTCCTTCAATAAATATCATCTTTCACATAGATCGTCTCACTTTTCTACGGTCTTACTCTCTACTTTACGTCTTACGATTTCAGAAATTTGAGTGATGCTGTTTATATTCTTAGATAGATAAAGCTTGCCTTTTATCAAGTAGGTTGCCAGTTTATTTAAGATTGCAATTGCAGAAAAGAAATTGTATATATTTAAGTATCACTTGTGTTAAGTCTATCAGTTGTCTAATACTATTTATGCTTAGGTATTTAGAAATGATATGGCTTCATCCATGTCTAATTTTGTTATTAATTAATGCTTAATATTTAAATGTGTGTAGATAATGCTGTACATAATATGAGAAGTAATATTATCTATTATTCACGATAACAGTAGAATAACCTCTTCCTAACGATAATGGAAGCGCATCTACGTGTTTATGCGGTAGAGTGATCAAAGTCTTTACTAGGGGACGCATAGTTGGTACATAAAAATATCTGGATACAACAACTAAAGCTTACTCGAATTTTCGTATATTAACATTGCCAGCACTGTAATAGTCTCCAACAGGACTGGCAATGTTATTAAATATACAACCCACACCGCAATTTACTTGATTAATATCTAATCTAAGAATTGGTAATACAAGTTATTTATTCAGCAGTGTAATCTATAGACAGTTTAGATATTACGTTAGACAAGTGGCATGCACACAAGTTTTCTAGATGTTACTATATATTATTAAATTTTAAAGACTTTAAATAGTTTACATAATGTGCAATATGAGCGTAAAATTTAGAGGATTTGAATTTAGAATACTATATAATTATATGGAATTCCAAACTTAAATATTGCAATTGTTTTTTTTAGCGGACGGAACAGAAGGAGACTCCTTTTTATCTAAGAGCTAACATATTCCCCCGAAGCATACGACCGAAAATATTGTATGTTGACACTATTCTTGAGTGGATTGTGAAGTTTCTTCCTTACTGTTTGAATCTTAAAAATGGATTTGTCATGCAATCTTGCTTGTAAATACATATATACATAAAATCTATATAACATAAACATTTGTACTTCATGGTATTCTACGTATTCAAGAATCTTTCACTTTAATAATTATGCAAATATATTGTGATTGACAAATATGTGACTGTATTCTTTAATATATTATGTACAATAATAAATAATTAACAAAAATATTAACGAATATTTGTTAATTATTTATAATAAATAATTAACATTTATTATAAATATTTGTTAATTATTTATAATAAATAATTAACAAATAGATTAACGAATACAATCATATATAAAAAAATATAAAATGTGAGAAATAAATGAGCACTTATGTATTTGATCTTACGAATCGATGGTACCTTAGATTACCTAGATAACTTTGTGATAAATTTGAGTAATTTTAGTTTGAAACAAACTTGGAGTAATATTACCTATATCATAGTAAAACAAATATGCCTGCCTATCTTTTGACATAAATTTCCTTCGCTACCCCTTTGGAAGTTAGAACATTAAAGTAGGTGCCAACACTGGAATTTGGGTGATAATTGATTGCCTCTTTGCAATTGATAATATTGTTATAGGATAATCAAGTAGAAAATCTGTTATTACATATATAATACATACATATATTATAATTACAAATAAAATGTTATATTTGAAAGTGGATTAAACTAGATGCGTGTACAGCTATACTATACTAAATTCTCTCTTCCTATCTTACAATAGACTTACAGATACATTTATTAGTACAGATGTATTGAATGAAAATAGCAGCACAGTGGCTATCTATATAAATAAAGTACTTACTATAAATGATTAGCAATCTTAAAATCGTATACAGAATTCGTTTACTCTGTTTTGCATAAAATTGCTTTTCTGATTTCAAATATTATTTCATTAATATTTCGTAACGAAACTTTTTAATCATATGTCTATTTTAACGAAAGTCAAAAATTTTTTCTATCTTCTAATATATAAAATTCTCGTGTCAGTGTTAGTTGCCATACTTCTCCGAAACAGCTTAACCGATTTTGATGAAGTTCTGTGCTATACCATATATTTTATACCCCAAAGTAATGAGATCAGCGTAAAAAAAAAATTCTGATGTTGCAATTAAAAGGAGTGTATATATATATATATATTCCTAAATTTTCACCCATTATACCACCAACCCCTATTTTTGTAGCAATATTAGTACTTTATTTTATGTGGCAAAAACTCATATATCGGGTCAACCAGTTTTGTATATATGTGCCCGAATATATTAGCGTATCTACTTATTGTTTCAAAATTACAAAATATTTTGAAATGTAGAAAAAGTAATTATTTTAAAACATACGCAGATCTCTTTTTTTAACAAAGGTTTTCATATATTTATTTTAATTTAACACCACACAAACCTCGCTCTTAAATTATGCTACAAAATAGAATAAAACACAGTCATAATCCATGTTTGTGCTTGTATTTATCCGCTTACTTCTTTTAAATTATTCCAATAATTTTAATTAAATCTTTTCCGTTCAAATAACAGAATATATTTGCGGAAAATGTACAAATACAATTATCTCTAATTACATTTATAAATAGCAGAGAAAAGTCGACGTCCTGTAAGTCACGTCAATATATACCTATCAGTAATAAAAAAAATTTTTTTAAATATTTTTATATTTTCTATGTTTATATTTTATATTTTAAGACACTAAATAAAATGAGTTGTGTGCATGGCATACACATGCGAAGTTAGTACCCATGCGAGATAGGGACACGGTGCTAGTCATGTTATATTTTACAGATGGGGAAACTTTAGTGGAATCAATGGCAATACTTCAATATCTTGAAGATACACGTCCTGAACCTCGCTTGGCGCCCAATGATCCATTACAGAAAGCGCGTATGAGGGAAATATGTGAGGTAAGATATAATACGCAAAGTGAAATTACAAATCAATGTTAAACGGTACAATATTATTATATCATTTATTTATCAATCCCGAATTTCATGCTTTATTTAAATATTCGATTTAGATGTAAGAGATAAGGAAACGAGGATTTTTCCTGTGTTTCAAAGTGAGTTAAATATGAAATTTAAGTTAAGATTGTACTTTACTTGCTTAGACATAGGCACGCATACCTCTATTTTGAAAATGTAATAAATTAACCTAAAATTAAAGACTAGCCTATCATCATCACCGTCAGCCTACTGCGACCACTGCTGGACATTGGCCTCCCCCAAGGCACGCCACTGGTCATTGCCATGTAATCATTTCACCTAAAATTAAAAGTATTGCCCATACGAGCACGAAATGGTTACTTAAATAACAAAATAAATAGTCATAATCTACGTTTATCAGACCCATTATGAATAGCTTCATATGGCTAATTAAACACTCATTTACCCGCCGTAGTGGGTACTCCATCGCTGTATTTCGACGATGCATTAACACCTAATATGCAAGTTTATTGAAGTGGATCGATATGTACCTATACAGATAATTTTGTAGTTTATTTTAAAATTTCACAATCGGTATACATATATTAAAAAATTAAAATGAGATACATTCAAGGCAGAAAAATAACTACCAAGCTGTTTATAATGTTTATTAACGTTTTTAGTAGGTAGTAATGATAGGTATAGGTTTCTATAAATTTATATTTTTTAATTAGACTACTTTATTTTATATTATCATCATAGTTAAATATTTCCTTAAGGAAACTCATTGTAGCTTCGAAAATATCTACAATTACAAAGATACAAAGAACAAGCAATATTGTTCTGTGCTTGAAATTTTAATTACTTATTAACTTTTTCTAATAATCTAATTTATGTGTTATCCAGAGACTCATAAAATTGGTAGAATTAAAATAAATATATTAGGCGGCGGGTGGCTAGCGGTTTAGCACACAGCTTTACTTACGATGGTCGCGGGTTTTATTCCCGGACGGTGCAAACTTTTGTATTCATGAGTATGACTTGTGGTATGGGAGTGGGTGTTTTCAAAAAAATACAAAAAATAATATCTAAGTGTTTGTAATAGTTGTCTAGTAAGTACCCATAACACAAGCTCTGCTTACCGTGGAATAGGTGGCGTTGTCTTATTTGTCCAGGGTTATTTATTTATTTATTATTATAGATACTATACATACATATAAATTAATAATGAATATTCGACCTTTCAAAACAATCCAATGAAACTTGAACCCTCATCTCTTAGCTATCCGGGTTGAGTGCGTACCTAATATAATTATTTGAAATTCCCTAATGCGGGGTTACGCATAAATAAAAGGAATATGTTAGAAACTTTTTCCAAGTCTAGCCATATATCGACATTGCCTTGATTTTGAATATCCTGACCTGTTTTACTCTAAATAGATGGTTTTTCGTTTCAAAACAAAGTTGCCATATTTTATATATTTACTCTAAAACTTTTATTTTCAACTAGCTGTTGTGAAATAGCCTATTTTTGTCCTTGTGATACAATTATACATACCTATGTTTATAGAACACCATTGTTATTTTTATTATATTGACAAATTGTAACAGATTTACTGACAGTCACTTTCGCGTTTAATTAAATATGGAATTATGGATGTTTGTTATGTTACTTATGGAGTCGATACTAGGAATTGCTAATAAATTGACGGCATGACTGATCTCATATCTATTGATATATCGTTGTATTCGTTCAAATGAATATCAAACATCTGTATTCATTATCATATTTATAAGGTCTCATAAATTAAGAGTTCATGGCGTCGTATTTGTTGCCCATGTTATTACAATATTATTTTTAGTACTTACCGTCCGCCAATTTAAATATAATGTTTCATTTGTTAGAAATATCCGGATTATTTCACTCCTAACTACATAATAATAATAAGAGAACACTGACTCATGAAAAACAGGTATTTCGTATATCTATCTAAGGCACGATGATAGCTAAAGAGAGCTTCTGTTATCGGTTAACTATTAGATCTAATTTCATTAGGTCTTAACTATTATAAATACTTCAATTTATATGTTTTTTGTACATAATATACAAATTAAAAACATAAAATACGCTGATATTTATAAATCAATTGTGTCAGAGACTGTAAAGTCCTACCGGGTGAGGATCTGATATCACAACATAGACTACTAGTACTTGATACAAAAATTAGGGTTCAGTATATTAAAAACAAAAACCGACCGCCCCCAAAAATAAGATGGCACATGCTCGAAAGGGATGAGAATGCAATGAAATTTAGAGAACAACTGAATGATATGATGATAGATATGAATAATATGGAAGGAAAATCTGTTAACGAATGTTGGAATGTAATAGCGAATGAAATGAGAGGTATAGCAAAACATATTGTTGGCGAAACAAAAGGGACGAGAATGATAGAGAAAGATACTTGGTGGTGGAATGAAAGTGTGCAACAAATACTGAAAAAGAAGAAAAGAGCGTTTAAAAAGAGCTGTAAAGAGAAGGATAATACAAAAGACGAAAAAAAGGAAGTATATTTAGGATGCGAAAAGAGGGCAAAGAAAGCTGTTGCAACGGCAAGAGCTGAATTCCAAGATAAACTCTACGCCTCATTAGATACTTCCGAAGGCCAAAAGCAGCTCTTCTGACTAGCAAAAATGAGAGATAAGAATACAAACAATGGAGTATATGTAATATGTATAAAAGATGATAAAGGAAAGGTTCTAATGAAAGAAGATGATATAAAAGATCGATGGAGAAATTACTTTGAAAACTTAATGAATGAAGAAAATTCATGGAATAAATCGATAGGAGAGGAAAGAGTGAATGTGGGTTTAGTAGTTTTAGGTTTAGTTGAGAAGTAAGAATGGAAGAAGTAAAACAAGCTATGCGAAGTATGAAAAGCACTAAAGCCGTAGGACCAGATGGAATACCAGTGGAAGTATGGAAGTTATTGGGTGAAAATGGATATAAGTGGCTCACTTTATTCTTCAGTAAGTTGTTGCATGAAGAAACTATTCCTGAAGAATGGTGCCAAAGCATATTGGTGCCTATCTTCAAGATTAAGGGTGATGTTCAAGACTGCAGCAATTATCGAGGAATAAAGCTTATGTCACATACTATGAAAGTGTGGGAGAATATGATAGAGAGACGCTTGCGAGAGGAGTGTGATATTTCACAAAATCAATTCGGTTTTATGCCTGGTCGAGGCACCACGGATGCCATTTTTGCACTACGCCAGCTGTGCGAAAAATACCGGAGTGTAAATAAAAATTTGCACATGGTATTTGTCGATCTCGAAAAGGCATACGACCGAATTCCCCGTCTAGTTTTGTGGTGGGCCCTAAAGAAGAAAGGTGTGCCAGGGAAGTATGTAGATCTAATACGTAAGTAAGTATGTAGATGCCATGTACATCCGGTCTAACACATACGTCCGATCGGCGGTAGGTGCGTTCGACAAGTTCAGTGTGGCGGTAGGCTTACACCAGGGTTCGGCTCTAAGCCCTTACCTCTTCCTCATTGTAATGGTTGCTCTGACATCGGACATTCAGGACGAGGTACCCTGGTGTATGCTGTTTGCCGACGATATTGTGCTTGTTAGTGAGGATGGAATCGAGGTCCAGAGTGGACTAGATAGATGGCAAGAAAAACTGGAGAGTGTTGGCTTAAAGATCAGCAGAACTAAAACTGAATACCTATTCTGCGATTTCGGCGGTCTCTCCAGTTTCAAGCCCATCTGCCTAAACGGTGTAATGCTTCCGGTCTGTTCCGATTTTCGGTACCTCGGTTCAGTTATTCAGAACAATGCCGACATAGACCGCGATGTAAGGCACAGAATTAGTGCGGGATGGATGAAATGGCGACAGGTCTCGGAAACGATATGCGACCCCCGAATGCCCTTGAAACTAAAGGGTAAAGTTTATAAATCTATCATAAGACCTGTCATTTTGTATGAATCTGAATATTGGGCCGTAAAGGGGATGGACGAAAGGCGTATGCATGTGGCAGAAATGCGAATGTTAAGATAGATGTGTGGGGTTACCAGGAATGACAGATATAAGGAATGTGTATATACGAGGAAGTTTGAAAGTTGCGCCGGTTATAGAAAAGTTGCGAGGTAACAGATTGAGCTGGTATGGGCATGTTATGCGGAGGAATGAGGACCATGTCTTATGGAAAGTGTATAATATGAATGTGGATGGATGTAAAGGGAGGGGACGCCCTAAGAAAAGATGGATGGGTTGTGTGAAAGATGATATAAATAAAAGAAGAGTATGTTCAGATATGACGACCGATAGAGAGCAGTGGAAGAGAATGACATACTGCGCCGACCCCAAATAATGGGATAAAGGCAAGACAATGATAACTCTGATATATATAAACAATCATGCTCATGAATACAAATATTTGCATCGTACGAGGAATTGAACCCGCGACCATCGGAAATAATAAACCGCTATAAGACCAAAGACTTTCTATTAAAATACTTTCATCGGACATACTCATTTGTCTAAAACTAATATCTGCTTTTTCAGATAATAGTATCGGGAATCCAACCCCTGCAGAACGTTGGCCTGAAATCTCATTTTAAGACAGACCAGCAATACCAGGAATTTACAAAGTACTGGTGCAATCGTGGTCTGCAAACTCTAGAAGATCTTTTAAGGAATTGCACTGGCCCGTATTGCGTTGGAAATCAAATCACCATGGCCGACCTTTGCCTAGTTCCCCAGTTATACAATGCAACAAATAGGTAAGTTTATATACGAATGAATAATTAATTTCAGGAACTTCAAAAGCAACAAAGCATTAAAATAAAGTTGAAGACCTTTTCATTTCCGAATCTGTAGCAACTTTGATGACGCAAACAAAAGGGATAAGAAAAAAGTGCGTTATTAAATTGTAAAAAACAAGAAATCAAAATATATTTTACACTATGAACTTTCTTTATTTTTGTAGGTCTATTACAGACTCCTATGATATGTTAAATTATAAAAATTGTTCTTCTGTCGATATAATAAATATCTACAAAAAGTGATACCACTCCATTTTTTTCTATCGAGATTTTCATGCCATATAAGATGTTTACTTGTAAACTCCAATCACGCACCATGTACTTCATGTTTACATTTCACAGTCCCTACATTATCGTCGAAATTACATTTGTCTATACATTAATGTATTAATATACATATTCGCATTATGCTTCGATCCAATTTGCATGGGTGCACTGTTACAGTTCATACACACATGCTACATTGGTCACCTTTGTATGTACAGCTACCTAGTTTTACGCTTGAATATATTGTATGGCTATTTGTTTTTTTACCTACATTTCGTTGAGTGTTCAAGGTATGATAACGTATCTGTCGTATATGTCGAATACCTATTTCATGCACTACTGGTTTATAGGATGGTTCCCGATATTTAGGGATAGTGTTTTTCAAATTGATCACCTTAAATGAAATATCATTAGATACTATATTGATATATAAAGTTGAAGAGTCTGTTTGTGTGCTTGTATATTTGTTTGATTGAATGCGCTAATCTCGTGAATTTAACAATTCTTGTAGTATTTATCGATGAATTTAACATATACCGAACTCTTAAAATAGTAAAAATTTATTCGAAAATAGAATAAAAGATTTTTGAATTTGAATTTTAGCAACGAAAAATTTTATCAACACGGGAAAACGGATGACGCGAACAAAGTTGGACCAATCAGCTAGTTAATAAAGAGATTGAGACCATTTCTAACTTCTATATTAATAACGTTTGACCAAAGATTTATTTGTATATAAAAGTTCATGAAGAACTATTGGGGCCATGTGTTCAACACAATAAAAATAAATAAAATGTGGTAAGTTCCTGCGATTTTTCCTAATTGTACGTATAATATATATAATGCATATTTATTTGCAGGTTAGAGCTTACACTGGATAAATACCCGACCTTGTCAAGATTGTATGGTACACTACTCAAAGAAAAAGTGTTCAAAGTAACTCACCCAAAAGCTATTAGACCACAAAACGTAGTGTCCCGTCTATAAGTCATTGTTTTATTAATCTTAATATTAATAGTTTATTAAGAATTAAGCAAGTATGTTAACTTTAATATAATCTACCTTATATTACTGCATAAAAATATTTATACATTATTTATAAGCATATATGGATATCGAATAAAAAATATTTTATATACTATTTTTAATTTTTTGGTTCCTATATATTTTTTTAGAATATTATCGTGATTTGTGTTATAGGTACACTCAAATTCTAGAAGATACAGGATAAGAGAGATTCAGGATATGCGATACTAAAAATAAAGTGATCTATGTATATCAAAAGCATCTAATTTCAAAAGTATACGTGCACCCTTTATACGTCATCCTGCTCGTAAAAGTAGCGCCGCCTTCCGGGTCCAATTGTATTTTCAAACCAACCATTTAGGCATCCGTTTAAATTTTGTTTTTAAAATTTCTTCCCAATCAGTGTAGCTGTTAAGAAGCAGTTAGATGAGATAGAGAATACATACATACGTATATATATATACATGTTTATATAATTCTTCTACTATATAAGTGTAATGTGTGATGTATATTTATATAATACAATTTAGACTTTACGAATGTAGAGAACAACATGTAGAAATTTTTACAATATCAACTATTATAGTTTCCTTTATTCTATAGCCAATATTTATAATATTCGATATCTGACGGTTTTTATAAACTAACAGCTATTGGCCAAAATCAATATATTTTAAAAAACTGACACGAAAATCTAGATGTCATTGCGATGAAACTAGGTCCATAACTATGCTTCAGAGATTCGTATCTAGCAGTTCAGTAAGTCAAGGTTGCTTGAATTTAGGGCAAATACCCGTAAGGTCGAATTTTATTAGCCGTAATCAAAGTCTTTATAAAACAGTTTCGACTTTCGTGCTCACCACACAATTGTGAAGTTCATTAAAATAATCATGTGAACATACAAACTGTTTCTGCACATTTCAACTAGTTATTGTGCTAATGTTGAAAAAAAAGTACATCTCTTGGTTTATATTAATTATTACTTAAACTGTTTTATTAAAAAACTATTTTCATTTTTAATTTAAGTGTCTTTAAAAAATCATTAAGTTTCATGTATATATAGTATGTATTGAAAAAATATAGAAAAAAACAGTTTTTTTATTAGATTGTACTTAAATTATTAAGTTGGTTGTTAGTTATTAAACCATGATGCTATTTTTACAATTTTACATCGATTATTCGATTAATACAATATATACACAAAATTAAAACTCGAATATCGAAACTAAATTATTTGTAATAGTGTTTATGTACATTAATATTTTAATGTTGCATTTCGAATTGACAAAGAGATCTTAGTCTGACAACAATTATATTTTGTGATTCAGCTTTTATCGTGCTTTGGTTTCCGTACCCTCAACCCAAGGCACTACTAAAACACCTACACGCACAACTTCATCCGGTGGACTTTATTATTAAAAGATATTTTGGTAAACTTTTGTGTTCTGAATAGTTATTTTTACATTCATAGATATCACAAAGCTAATGTAAAAAACATGTTTATATGAAACGATACCATAAAGAGTATTTTAGAAGGTGATGTCTCGTTCTTTTTCATGCCTGCGGAGTGGTATGTGTAGCTATAAAAAATAACGGTTATTTGCATTGTGAATAATACAATGTAAACATATATAAACCGATTCCGTTTTGTCACTTCTGTAGACCCTCCAGTTTTTATAACATATACCTACATATCTACTATGTTCACATAAGTTCTCATAGATAGCATCTACCTCAGGAAACTTATATAGGGGTACGTTATCTGTTAGAAAACTTATAGGACTAAATCCTAACTGTTATTCCGTGGTTTAAATTTTAATTTCATCTATGTTGATGCTTGGGGAACGTTGGTAACGAGAAGATACTTTAATGGTGCATAAAATGTGTTTTTTATAATATATATATATATATATAATATGTATATACTAGAAGAATATAAGAGTGATACCTTACCTACATAATGTGTTTCTTTGAATTGCGAGAAAGATAATGAGACTTCACTTACAATAGGTATAAAGAACGAGTACGAATTTATTTTTACTTTGTTTATGTAGAAATATATGCTGTTGTTATACATATTTCTACTCAGAGTCAAAATAACCCACTTATTTATTAATTCATAGTAATCGGCTCTACGTAGAATTCATCTTTTTATCTAGGCTGATTATTTTTTGTTTCGTTCTTATACTTGCGTTATTAATTGTTCTAATATATGTTGGCGATTAAGTAGTATAGATAAATAGTTTCGAGTTATATCAGCAAATTAAAGCAGTTAAATAGAGTAAGTATGGAATACCTACTAATAACAAGATCGCGCCTTCATGTCGTCTCGAAAGTCCAGAAATATAACGTATTATACTGTCTAGTACATTGATTGCAGCTATATTTATTTAAAATTAATATTATGGTAAAGGGTACAATTTGATTACTCTGTAAGAATAGACAAGACATTTTGAATGAAACTTTTGTGAATATGCTAACGAAGGTCGTTAGTGAACTCAAATACTTTTTGATATTACAAATACTTTTTGATGGAAACAAACACAAATAGTATTCTAACGACCTACCTAAATCAAAGAAGTTCCTCAAATCACTCTCACTACATACAACTTTCTGTGTTTGGATGGTAACTTTTATAACAAAGTTTTCGTCGACGCCGTGAACCCATCAAAAGACTTTCTGTTTGTTTAATGGAATGTTGATCTAGTAGATGAAGGCTTTTATACATTACAATATTTATAAAGATTCTAAATAAAACAATCTCAGCTAGATATTTTGTCTATGTTTTGTTTTCTCCGTTTTCATATCTCAAACGTGAACGTCGAAAATATTATTTGCATGACGTTTGTTTTAATATCTCGAAACTATTGTCATATCATTCACGTTTTTACTGAATTATACCGCCCGTCGTATGTCTGGAATTGAGTTATGAAAGAAAATATATAATATTTTGACGAATCGGCATTATATTGTATCGTTTGGTATAGACACATCATTATACAATAGCAAGTACCAACTATTATTGATATTATTATATCTATATATCGCTGTACTTGTAAATCAGGTTACAGGATTAACTTACATAACATTAGTTCCATTTTTGGATGATAAGTAATGAATAGAAGATAACAAAATGATAATGTATCTATATAAAACAGTAGGTAACCTTTAAGAAAATAAATAAATATAAATTTAATAGTTAATTCTAGTATTTTAATTATTCTAATAAAGCTTATAATGGCAAGGTATCCATAATAGTTTGCAGTACTATTTACTATTATATATACAATTAGAAAATCGAAACGGTCGCGGTCGGTATGTGCGTACAGTTTAAGATTAACTCGCTATTATATATTATTTTGAATTTAATAGTAATCGGAATGCGTATTGTTAAAACTAACAACCTTATTTATACAATGCTATTACCCTTATGCAAAACTTTCGTTCCTTATTTTATACCCTTTCAGATTAGTTTTAAAATAAAAGCGTATACAGTAATACAGCACAATAAGACCAGTTCAGCCGTGTAGCCGTGAAAGACTAACTGACAGACACACATTGATGTTTTTGTAGGTAACTATTGGCAAGTACAATATCTAACTAAGTAATTTTTAGTTAGAATAATTTGTAGAATATTTTGGACAATTATACTAAAATTAAGCAAATGCAGATACATATGGGTTTGTCCCTAAATCTGTCTTTAAAATGAATGTTTTTATACCTGTAAAGATAAAGTCAAGCAAAAGCTAACACTTAAATATATTCAACTATACTTCACACGAAATGTTAAAGCTTGGATCATTAAGGCCAATAACAAAATCTCTAAATAGCTAGTTGCATTTTCCTAGAATACCATTAGATATCAGATATACACAAATTAATAGTTATCACATCACCATATATCGTTAAATTAACTGTGCGATGCCAATTTAGGTCACAGCCCAGCTGTTCGTCTCTGTGTTTTGTAGGTACACACATTGATATTTTCAATTAAAAGCTGCATATTTTTCTATTATAACTCGCAACATTTCTAACAGACTTCAAAGGTAGAAAGTTATACTTGTCATTTTTTGTTGTCTCACACCAAAAATAAACTTGCAAATAACTTCAAAATATCAAGAATTTTCCTTCACAAAGCTTCATAATAACATAAAAATAGCTAGTTAACACGAACCTTTAAAATTACTACCTACTATGATTAATATAAATATCTTAAAAAATATATTGAATAATATGATATACATAACTTTGAATATACCTATGCGACTTGTATTTATTAAATTAATTATTACTTTATTTTTTTATTACACATTTATAATTTTATTTTATATTTATCAATTAAAATTATTCATTTTTGATAATTATACCTAATTACCAAATATAAAAATTTTAAGAAAATCTATGCCTGCCTATTAAAGATAACCTGAACCTAAAATTTTATTAAGCCCTCAACAAGTAGGTAGTTAAACATTAAACTTTACTTAAAGATACGTTTATTACCAATAAACCTAAACGTCTCAGTAAAGATTTTATTCGCTATTAAATGATTCATAAAACAAAGTTCATGCTACTCTGTGCTTATTAGTTCTTCGTTATTGGATATTATATAGGTTAAACATAAAATTGAACGTATAAGTTTTCTAAATATGATAAAAGGGTACAGTGTGGTATAGTAATTGCAAATCAGCACGTAGGATAATAGATTGTAGCAGTATACATACGTTAGAGAAGTCACTTTATCTAACGTCCCGTAAGTCATTGTGTGGTTAATATACATAGTCTAAGTTACTAACTAGTCTAAGGTAAAATAAATAAAGATGTAACCAAATATTATTTTATATTATTGATATCAACACCCGTGAAGTACCAATAGAAGTCAAACCTTAAAGGGTCCATGCTATACAAGTTAAACTTAATAAAATATTTTTTTGTTTTTGTTAATTATCCTTATATGCATTCTATTCTGGACTTATAATACCAAAATTTAAAATTATATTAATACTAGCAGTTGTTGTGCCATGTAAAATAAAATTGCTATTAAAAAATAGGGGTTGACATTTAAAACTAATTAAGTATACGAGTACATATTACAAATAGCCATTTTTATTGTACTTAGTAGATACTTATAATTGTTATAATGTAGACGAATTTTAAATTTTTAAGCAAGTTTTTTTTTTAATGGAATCCATAATAAAAATACATACAAAGTAAAATGGGAAAACCAAAGAAGAAAATAAAGGAAATCCCTTTAGGATTTATGTCTTCATTATGATGTTTCTATTCATATATATTTTTTCAGATACAGACGTTTATATTTTGATAATTCATATGCTGAGGTAAGAAAACAGTATTATTTTTTCTTATGGGTATTTCCATATTTATGAGACTGATAAAAATAATTTCATGAATCTCCAATTCAATATTCGGGTTTGAATATACAGTATCCATATTTCACATATAATCTATCATATTTGGGATAGACGTACGAGACATAAGCGTGAAAGGAAGATGCGGTTAAAGCAAAGGTTCATAAACTATTTTTAATATCTTTTTTTTTTAACGGATAATAAAGAAATGATGCACCAGCCTGCCGTAATGGTTTATGGTGGTAGTACAGAAGATGAGGATAAGATGAAGATGGAGTCAGGTCAGTTAGCTGATGGTTTCCGCGTGAAGGTCAACCTGACATGGTACATTGCTAGCAAAAGGGTGAACCAACAATCACAAAACATATTGTAACACATATTACTAACAATTCTCTTTCCCTCCATAAACTGCTTTCAATTACATTGCTGCGACTGTTCAACAAATTCCCTAATTGTCAAAGTATGAAGATTAAATCTAATAATAGAATTTATGTCTCGCGACTTAGTCACTATCCTATATTCAGTGGAAAAAGAAAAAAGGTTACATTTACAAATTAGGGCAAATTTCTATATAAATATAATTCTTTACTATCGAAGTGATACATTTTTGTGGGTTTACAACTTGCGAATCCCTATTTATTTTTACACCATCATAGGTTCCCGTCGATTCTCCCATGGGCCACCTGGACTAGTTTGAGAATCACTGGCTCGGTCGCTCTATTTGGTCTTTGGGTACAAAATCCTAATAAAAATAGAATAGAATAGAAATCATTTATTGAAATAAACTTAATTTAAGCACTTTTGAATAGTCAACAATTATGTACCGCTTATTCGGAAAGCTGTCTCATCACAAGAAGAATAAGCAAGAAACTTGTGTGTTAATAAAAAATCTCTAACAGTTTTTTAACATAATTTATTATTTTTAAAAGTAATAAAATCATACATTATTTTTGGTGTTGAATACCTCTAATAAAATCTTATCTCAATTAAAACACGCCTACGAAGGTAGACCTACATAAACTGTACGGTCAAATAAATCATCCTGGTAGTATTTTAGAAAATAGTAAACCCGTAGGTAACTTTTATAAAATTAAAAAAAAAACACCTTCACGATTCATTCCAAATACGGTAGTCGACTGTGGATAGTAGTGACCGCAACATTTGACATGCCCACATTTCGCTGAGACATCTAATGTGTCACGACGAGCCTACAGCCAACTCTCGAATTATTTGATTTGATATGAAATGTATTTATTGATGAAGCTTTTTGTTTGAAAATGCGCACGCGACTTCGTATGCGTCGTTTCTTATAACTAGAATAACTTCGATTATTTCAATTAACTTTAGTCTTTTCTCGTTTGGTACCAGAAAATGAAATAAACACTATTTATTCCTGGAATCTTGCTACAACACTACCTAACTAATATGAACGTACATAGTTTGCAATTGTATAAATTCATAATTATGAATTAGAACGGTACTTCAAAATTTTAATGTATGTTGTTATGTAAGACACGTGGTCTTACAACAACAATTTGAAGTCCTCAGGAACGACGGATACGTTATACCATCTTGTATGTTACCCACATACAAGATGGTATAACGTATGACGACTATACTTAAATACTGAACTGTCCATTGTGCTATTACTGTATGTCTATAATGTTGATCGCAATAAAATTGTCATACCCTCAGAACAAAGTCATGACAATCATTTAAAAAGTAAATATTTTATAAATATCTATGGTACGTGCAGTCACGTGCACTGATACATAAACTAACTTTGGAATAATTATATTATATACAAGTGAGTACATGCTAGACAATAACACCAATTGTAGACTGAATGTAGGACACGCACCCTAACTAATGCAATTAATATCTTAGTCTACCACTTGACACTCGGTCTGTACGTACCGACGTACCAGTATTTATATATTATATATATATATATATTAATATTTCCATAGTGATAAGTATGTAAATAGGAATTACAAAGATCGTACGCTTAATAAAAAAGTAATCTATTCCAAAAGTTTCCTTATAGTATTTACTTTCTGAAAATTGTATACATATTTAGAAAAAATAAGAAGTTGTTGTGCACAACTAATCTCTTTCATCTACTCATAAAAAATGGATGAAATTGCCAAAAATCCAACTTATTTATTTATTATTATTTACTTATTTATTGCCTATGTTATTCTGATGTATTAAGCTATATTAGGTACTATAAAGTTTCGTCATAATCCGTTCAGTAGTTTTTGCGTGAAAGAGTAAGAAACAAACATCCATACTCACAAACTTTCGCATTTAGAATATTAATAAAGTTATTATAGAAGTATTAAAAAGTTAAGAAAATAAGTTATTTAGCTGCATAAATTGTACGTAATTTGAATTTTAAATAATGATTTTGAAGAATAATATACTTAACAACAGTATCTCTCTTAATTGTTTTAAAGAAAAAATATTGAGCCTGTTTCTTTAAAGTAGTCGAATTAGTGTGATAGTGGAATTTGCCAAATTTTGTACAATATTATTATGGAAATCGAGATATAAATTGAAAATTTACTCTACATCTCAACTATCTATTGGACCGTGCTAACATAATGACATGAACGGTTTACTCATTATAATCCCAACGTAAGCTTTCGAGTTTTCAATACACTGGTGCACTTTTTTAAGCTGTCCTACATATTTCTTATTTGTATTTTCTCTACATGCAAGCAGTAGATATAGAAAAGAATAATACACTTACTATTTTAATGCATATTGAAATTGTAATTTTTTTAGCAAATTACAAAAAGTTAACTGATGGTATTTTAAAATACATTTTATAGACACTATACGTTTATGAATTTATGTGAATAATCTTACTAATATTATAAACGCAAAAGTTTGTGAGTATGGATATATGGATATGTTTTACTTTTTCACACAAAAAATATTGAGCGGAATTTGATGAAACTTCACAGTAATAACTTGTGTATCAGAATAATTTTAATTTAAACAGATATTATTTAAATTGGAGGAAATATAATGATACATGTGAAGCAAACGAAGTTGCTCTGGTCAGCGAGTATTCAATATGCAAAAAGTAAACTAATTTATTTTGTCGTAGAAAGAAAAATAAAATGTTTTTCCCAGTTGAAAATGTAGAAGCATTATTGGACCATATTCCTTATTAGTAACGGTCTTAATCTACTTTATTGGAACTGATTGAAGTGGGTACACGCGATATCCTCTTCTTATTATGAAGGTCGGGTCTGAAATACGCTTCAGTGCACAACCCGACGCGACCCTTACAGCCTTATCTATAGGCACATATTATCTACAGCAAATTAAATACAAAATGGACACCTGGCAAGCCTATGAACCGCTCCCACCAAGAATGGAGTATTTTTGGAAGTCAATAAATTGATTTATAGGTCTTTAGTCATTAATATATTCTATATAAAATATTTAAACGCAATACACCTTGTACAGACCGTCTGCGTGCACTTATCTGGCCTGTATAAGCTGTGAAGCAGCATACTTTAAAAGTTTCAGTTGAAGAATGTAATGGGATATGGTAAAATATCTTAGTCCTCCAGACTGATAACAATAATAAGTAGTAGTACTACGAGCAGCCCATAATAAGGTATTACCGTATATAGAGGCGATGATTAACTTTGCTATTCTACTGTCCTTTACATTTCCAATTAGTTAAAAAAATATCTATATATAGATATATATACATTGTGAAATATATCCAGAATTATTGTTACTTAAATTAGATGTAGGTAATTGAATTAATTATTACATTAAAAATAACAATGTCAATCAATGGTTAGTACCTATTATATATTTATAAATGTTTTAGTATAATTATTTCTTGTATATCAATAAAATAAAAATCTATTTTAAGGAATTATAATGAAATAATAATTTCCAGTTAATTAACGAGGAATTGCTGAAACCGTGATTCAAATAGGTCAACAACACATTATGTACAAGTACTGTTACTGAGCTCTAGTGTAGTTCGTTGATCTTCATTAATTTGACATCAATATAATAATTGTGCCGATGCGAACCAATATGGTAGAGTAGTGTCTTGGTCACTCAGTATTTTCGCCGCTAACAGACGCACGGACATGTCTAGCGTGTCTTGAGAGGGCGGCGAGGGGCTGCTCATATCCTCTCGCGGCCTACAACCCCCACCTATCTTTATGCGTTGGCCGGAATGGGATCAAATGTAAATATAATCCCTCTAACATATTTTTTGAGCCGCTATGGCTCTTCAGACAAGTGGACAATTTCTCCTTTTATTGTTTTGCGTGTTGAACAGAGGAAACGCAGATGGTGAGTAAATAATATTTGCTTAATTCAGTAGGTAGGTATACTTTTATTTTTGCCTTCGAATGCATGCCTCCGCATAAATTTTAGAAGGAATATCTAACTACAATAAATATATTAAGTAAACAACATAAATCGAGCGAAATTCTAAATACTTGTTCTCATAAGTATGTACTTATACTAAGTTCAAGTATTTTTGTTTGTTCACGCGTCTAGAAAAGCGAAGGAGCTAAATAGGTGTTTGGTGTTTTAATCTTCTATCAATTAATATGCTAATATATGTGTATATAATTAGAATAATTAAATTTTACAAACAGCTTAAATATATTTCATACTAACAGATTTCTGCGGTCTCTTTCGAAACTACATGTACCTACGTACATAAAATCTGACTATGTAGGTCCATCTATGTTAATTTTAATGAAGTATTTCTAATAATTTTCGAAAATTATATTAGCTATAAACATGGTGTTCCACTAAAGTTTATATAATATATTTATTAACTTCATTTTCTAGTATTTGACAAGAGAGATAAATGGCATTTGTTTGCTAAGTGAAGAGGGCTACGCAACATAAAATACAAAAACCAATTTCGCAGTTTCAAAATTGGCCTCTTTGAGATATCAAGCCCCTGTTTCGTATCCAATAAAATTCAAATTAGTAGCGTTACTAATTTTTTGGATGCAGTACTATGATAGACAGATGAACGTTTTTGGATGGACAAAATCTCATTGATTTGATGTCTTATAAACATTACAAAACGGACCTCAGTCACCAAACCGTAGAGCAAACTCAAAATCCCACTATTACAATAAATGGAATAAAAATTCTGAGGATGGATGATAAATGTTTGGATGTTTGCTACTCTTTCCTTCAAAACTGGTGGATTAATTCGAATGAAATTTTGTTTACCAAATCTCATTGGAATTAACCCACTAGATTGATCCAGACCCCGAGACCAGACCCCTAGAAGGATGGAGACAAGGGATAAAGGACCCTTTTAGCAGCAGCACGAGATACAATTAGTACATTTTATATTTCAGATGAGTTAGAGATTTTCGACGTGCTTTCGGTCGTGCGAGAAAGAGGGCTTCCCGATGGAATATCACGGACTCCAGGCCGCTGTCAATCTCCAATAACACCTGCCGATGAATATTCAGCGTACAGCCTAAACGAAAATGCTACACTGCATCAACTTGCTGCTGGAATGTTCTATAACACATTCCCAGAAGATTTCTCGATTCTCACGGTTGTGCGATTGCCAGGTAAATTTAAGATTGATTTCTTGAAATAATTGCTCCAGTATAAAAATAACTTCCAGAGGGAAGGAGATTGTTAGTAATGTGGATTAACAATCTAAGGTACCGTGTCTTCCACACGGATCCATCAACAACCACACCCTTAATCATGTAAGTGTGTAACTGTTAAAACCCATATGATTGTATTCACACTCATGAATAGAAACGTTTGTACCGTGCGAGGAATAGTACTCGCGACTATCGGAAATGAGGCGGTGTTCTAGACCACGGTGGCCGTCAAGTAAAATCAATAACGTAATACGTACTTTAATATTATGTCTTTTTATACAGGAACAGAACAAAATCCCATATTCGTATTATATTCCGATGCTGGTGATGAGCAATTGCAGCTTGTAGTGGGAGAACTTATAGAATTATACTATGAAGACACCCGAGGGGACCCGCCTGACCATGAACTCCTCACATTTCATGTTAATATCGCCGACGGAATGTGAGTAAACACACTTTTTTTAGAGATATGCATTTAATACTTCGCTCAATTTATATAATCCTGGTCAATTTAAACTTCCTCTATATACACGTGTAAGACTGGTAAGACATGATCTGCTATCTTTTGGTACCCGCTCAAGAAGTGACTAACACACCTTTCCCCAAAATAAATGAGAAGTCGAGTATTTTTCAAAAAAAAATGTCTACAAATAATATCAAAACCTATTATAGTTTATAAATTTAAGACTATTTAGTTTAAGTCGCAGTAGTAAGCATGGAGATCCATGCTTAAACAAGGCTTTGTTTAAGTTCTTCAAATATAGAAGAAGTATGCGCCTTTCACTTACCCGAAAGAGTTTAATCTTATTGGAAATTGGTTCCTTTCGTGTCTCGGTGATTATTGTTCAATTCAATACACTTATAGTTTGAATCTGTGAAAAATAGACCGTAAGATCTGAACCTTTTGCCGTTTCTTACGATAATATTTTTTTATTTACAAAGATGGCATCGATTGGGACTCAGCATAAAAGGAGACTCAGTGACTTTACTAGTCGACTGTAATATTAAAGAAACACTGCCTCTAAACCGCAAACCAGGAAGTACATTCAACTTGGCCGGGGCACTGGTCGTCGGCACCCAGGTCACGCCTGATCAGTTTTACGAAGTAAGCCTTTTAAAAAGCCGCCTATTGATTATTTACAAATTACACGTTTTGTTGACACTGACGTATCTAATTTGAAATGTCATCCATTATATAAAAACATATAATAGATCGCGTACATAGTATACCTACAAGGAATTTTATTTTTTCAATCAAATCACGAAACATTAATGATGGAACACAGAATGATTTTTCTATTCCATTTTACTTATGAGTGTCATGTGGACTGATGATGCTGAAGTGTAATTACTTCAGGCCAATAAACGACTTTTCATGCTCATCAATAATCATAATGAAATGACCGTACGTCGCGTCTCCAAACCGCATTGAAAATACATGATACTTTGAGATTACGTGACTCTTTTAGAACTTGAAAAACAGCCATATTCCGATAATGAAATCTATCAATTATTTTAATTCATACTAGAACCTGAAGTAAGTGATGATAGATGAATGTCTATTACCACTTATTTAAAATTTACTTCTAAAATACTTGGCAGTTTTCAGTTCCCTCTCACTCTAGACACACATTCTAGCTTAGGAAATAAATTAGTACAAAAGTCTTATATATCTAATCTTAGTTAATATACTTAGTATATTTACGCCTCAGCATAATTTTTCCACAATTTGTTTTCATGTTATTAATTATCACTAGGGAGACATCGAATTGCTTCAATTTACGAATAAACCAGATACAGCCTATGATATGTGTACGTCGATAGCTCCTGACTGTGTTGGATATGATTCTTACAATACACTTTCAATAACTCACAATACCAGAAGACCCGTCACACCAAAAGACAATTTGGATTTATCAGAGGAATATACAGATTACGACTTGGACACAGACACTTCTACTGCTCATCCAAATCAGAACACACTAAGTGCAGATGAACACGGTAATAGGCAATATGGACATTTCGGTAGAAGAAGATTCTTTATGGAGCGCAATCGATCTGATAGTCACTGGGAGGCTGCTTCCGATTTGACAACAGCGAGACCTCAGTGGCAAATCGCAAATGCTTTCGGTGTAACTGGACCATATCTGCCCTTAACTGATTCAGGTATCAACTACTATTTCATTCCATCTGCTATTATCTTTAAAAAAGTACAAATTTGAAAATAATTTGAAATGACAAACAAACTGACTATATACTCGTACATAAACAGCACTACGGACATCATACGTTATCATGTGAGATCCGCAATACCACTCATCCGCAATGCCATTTCTGAGGACTATGATGTTATGCCTCTTATTCTGTAATTTCACTGCGTAATCTGTATCCTACAACTGAAACACAGCTTACAAAGCAAGCTGCCTGGTGGCTGAAATAGATGAAACTGAAATACCCTCGCAGACGACTTTTTACAGTCTACCTCTAAGTAACGATGATGCAATGTCGTCTATAATATATGTTTATGATACGTCTGTATCGACCTACGCCGCCTGCAATACCTTGCCTGCAATAAGCCTGGGAATCCTTTATCATTATTCTAAAAAATAGCAAATTATTTTCGCTGTTCTTACCAATTGATATTTCCTTGCTACTTTGTTCAGATGAAAACAGCATCTTCGGCCGGTTTACAGACGAAAGTGAGTTGGCGCCGTCACCCCCGAGTGTGGTGTTCTCCACTCGTCCAGAACAATTGGAAGTCACTACGTCTAGAGTAAGATTTTAAATACTGGAACTATTAAGAAATAGCAAAACACATTTTTTTAGTACAATATGCATGTTTCTACATTTAGTAACACAAATGCACACCTAGTTATAATATATCCTCTATATATGGCAGAAGCCCGGTGTCCACAAGTGATTCAAGAGTCTTCTAGGTATAGTCTTATATACATTTTTAACATTTAGTATTTAATGATTTTCTTTTTATTAATTTCTTTTATTTTACATACAGATGTAGTACATAATACTAAAACCTTTAAATTTTAATGCCTCGCCTAATCTTTTTTATGACGGCGAATTTTCCAGTTGAAAAGAGGGGACGACGACGAAACGGAAACGGGTCTTGTTACTACCGAGGCATCCTATAGTCCGATGACAACGACGGAAGACGACGAATGGCTCACACACCCTCCTGATTACGGTCAAGTAAGATATCACAATAGAACGTTCTATATTTTTTTATTTAAAAGTATACGAATTACTAGCTAAACTTTCATGAACCACGAAATAGCTCCATCATAATCTTAAACATCGAAAAATGAAACTAAATAATATTGATGTATTTAGATATATGTACCATGTAAATTATTTGATGGCCTCGGTGGTCTAGCGATGTAAGATATTGCATTGCTTCCAATGGTCGCGGGTTCGATTCCTTGCACGGCACAAACATTTGTATTCATGAGTATGATTGTTTGCATCGGCCTGGGTGGAAGCAAAATCTATGTATTTTTACCAGTTAGTTCGCTGTGGGAATTGTCCTGACATTATTATTGTAATAATAATAGATTTAGTAATCTTCTACACAATTATACCCAAATTATTATGAAAATCATATTCTAATTGATACTAAATATGTACAGGGAAATTCTTCAATTGGATACGACTCTGAAACATATTACGATTATGGAAGCACGGGAACCTATATGGGACCTCGAGGGTATCCTGGTCCACCTGGCCCCCAAGGACCCAGAGGACCCAAGGGAGAACCCGGAAAACTCGGAACTGAAGGTCAGCAAGGTTTCCCAGGTCCACCTGGACACGTTTTTGTTGTTCCGGTAAGTGCAAATTTGTACTGTCAATTTTAACATGAATAATATTAGTAGGTACCTATTTTAATTGTAATATACAGATGGCGTGGTTGTATATTTTGTCTAGACTAAAACTAGAAGTGTTATTTGGGCATTTATTACCATTGATATAAAGTTAAAATGAAGATTCTATCTATAAGCAGTAACTAATTAATATGGTAATTTGACTACCAACACATAATATAGGGTAGCAGAATATTTAAGTATAGTTAATTATTATAATTATAATATAGATATTTAATATCAAAACTACCACCACGCATTTTCATCATTATTGTTCGGCTCGTTTTGATACTTAGAAAAATCAGGTACTTTTACCATTAGTAGTGCAATGGTTACTTTTCTAATTTTTCGTCAACTGGTTGTATAAGATGTCAGCTTATTTATATTCAATAGGAAAAAATATATTAGTAATCATTACATAGTATAAAACAAAGTTGCCGTAACTCTCTATCCGTCCCTATGTATGCTTAAATCTGTAAAACAGATTTTGAAGCAGTTTTTTTAATAGATAAAGTGATTCGAGAGGAAGGTTTATATGTGTAATACATGTAATGGTACACCCGTGCGAAGCCGGGGTAGGCAGCTAGTATTTTCATAAAACAAAATATGACATTTTGTACAATTAAAAAAAGGTATTCATCGATATCATGCAAATTTATTTTTTAGTTACATCAATCTGGAAATGAGAAAGGACCTGATGCCCAATCAGAAGCACTACGTCAGATGTTAACACAACACATGGTATGTATAATGTAAATTTTATTAATTATAGAATAAGTATAAATTTACAGAAAAAGATAATATATCTATCTATGACGTTTTATAGGCAGCAATGCGAGGAGCCGAAGGACCAATGGGTTTAAGCGGTCCACCTGGACCAGAGGGAGAAACTGGTCCAGAAGGTCCTAAAGGAGAACAAGGAGAACAAGGCGAACCAGTATGTTTCAAATTGTATAAACATTAAGTCACTAAGTATTGGCTACCAAAACACACAAAACAATTATATTTATCGTTTTATTGCTGAAGTAACAATAAACAGTAATTTATATACGATGTAAAAAACCTTCACGTATAAGTTTCACGCCATTATAATTATTTTGTACTTTAGTACTTTTTTATTTTATATATATGTATATTATTATGTATGTGTTAAATTCTAAAATTCCATTATTCTTTATAGAAATATAGTTTCACACTAATTAAGCAAATATTTTTTTATAATATTTCCGCAACATTTATTAATTTCATTCTCTGAATTTTCTTAAGGGTCCACCTGGTCCGCGTGGATTACAAGGACCTCCCGGAAGGCTAGGTCGTCGTGGACATGCAGGTAGAGACGGGGAGCGTGGGTCTACAGGAGCGACAGGTTCCAAAGGTGAACAAGGCTATCCAGGTCTACCCGGCATACCCGGTGATAAAGGCGAGCGAGGATCTCCAGGCTTACAAGGAGAAGCAGGAGTATCAGGACAAGATGGACCACCAGGCGATGATGGACCTTCAGGACCTCCAGGAGTCTCTGGAGAACTAGTATGTTATTTTCAAAAAGGCTATTTCTTTATTATAACTACATATTGTTAACACATTGCACGTCATTGATATACAAAAGCACCCATAAATAGTACAAATGGCTTGTCAGTGACTTGACTTTGACACACTTGATATAAAAAAAAATTTAATTAACTAACAATAATTATAATTGATCACGTAATTTAATATTTTAGGGTCCACGAGGTTTTATGGGACCCAGAGGATTTCCAGGCCTTATAGGCTATCCCGGATTACCTGGCGTAGAAGGACCACAAGGAACTAAAGGTACTGCAGGACAACCTGGACCTCCGGGGCCGCAGGGGCATCCAGGGCAAATGGGTCCAGCCGGTTCACCAGGGCCACAAGGACCTATTGGAACCCCTGGAATTCAGGTTAGATACAAAACATTAACAATAATAATATTCTTGCCTGAAGAGATAATGTCACATAAAAGGAGATACGAACTTCTTAGTATACCATGGTATATATATTGCACGGTGAATCCATGGATTCACCGTGCAGTAGCAGGGTCTATCGTGTGGTAGAGAGCGAAGCCCTGCTACTGCACGATTCCCGGGACCCGTTGTAGGTTTAAGGTAGGGCCCCTTGCCGACATACGTTAACACTCACCTTCATAACCTTCACGTATAATCTGAAGTACTCTATCATAGCGACTCTATCATCACCCCTATCGAGGAGCACCTTGAACTGCTGTTTGTAGGTATGATAGGATATACTTACATCCTTTGCAATTGAGTATATACGAGTATAATGTTAAAGAGGGAATATATCAAACATTCTGATTACAAAATAGACTATTTGCTATGTGAAATCTGCAAATATCACTATTTATTACAGGGTCCACAGGGTAAACCGGGAATGTCAGGACTACCTGGACCTGAGGGTTCTCCGGGAACTCCGGGTAATCCTGGACAACAAGGGCCACCTGGTGACGTTGGACCACAAGGAGCACAAGTATGACAAAATTCCACTGTAACAATATACAATAAAAATAAGAACCATTGTGACTGTAAATTGAATTAATACGTCGTATAATTAAAATAGCTTGATAATTTTAAATAAATTGTACTAGACCTAATATAATAATAAATATTACGATAGTTACATTATTGTCATATAAATCTTGATTATATAATAGAAAATTGGCAGTTGAACTGTTAAAATATTGAGATCCAGAGCATGAAAGTATTGAATTCGAATTGAGTTTCATATTACTATGCCCATAGATTCATCATTTAACAGTGATATTTATTACCAGGGAATGTTGGGTTTTCCTGGAAATCGTGGACTAAAAGGAGACATTGGACTTAGGGGTTTACCAGGAGATAAAGGAGACAAAGGAATTAGAGGTTTGTCATAACTATTGATCAAATATTGTTCACCTGAAGGTAATGTGGATATTTCATTTAATTAAATATTTAATGTAAGTATGACAATAGTACAACCAAATAAGCGTAGTTCATAGATATTCGTAATTTGAACTTGTGACTTATCATAAACAACAAAAATAAGATTAGAAAACTAAATACTTTCTTACTAAATAAATCTAACAGAAAAACAAAACTAGTCAGAACAAATGAAACATTTCACAAGATAATAATAAATTATATTTTTTTACATAGGAGTTGACGGAGAAAAAGGTGATATTGGGCCAAAAGGAGAACGTGGTCAAATAGGAGAATCTGGACCTCCAGGAATCGAAGGACTTGAAGGACAAAAGGTATAAAGTATTAAATTTGATTTGTTTTATAATAAACATCTTATAAACTTATGAACATGGAAGTTTGTGTGACTGATTGACTGACTGTTGACTCTTTGACAACAAAAAGTACTTTACAATAATATAGTTTATCATCAGAATAACACATAGGCTATAAATTTCAAGAGGGTGAACGTGGGTGGTCACGGGTACAGCTAGTATAATAATATATCCTTTTACTTTAATACGTAAACAATAATCTATTGGCGTATGTTAATAGGGTTCTGAAGGCCCAAGAGGAGAAACTGGACCATCAGGTCCAACAGGTGAGAAAGGTGCCTCTGGACCACAGGGCCCACAAGGATATCCAGGTAGTCAAGGCGAGAAAGGTGATAAAGGTGCATCTGGAAGACGGGGTAGAAGAGGCGCCAAAGGAGTTATGGTAATGTACTTTTAAATAATACTTTTTATATAAAGAAAATGGAAAGTACACGAAGTCAAAAATTATTGTTTGCTTGCTACAAATTATTTCTAAAAATACACAATATGCTAGCAACATACTTGATGACAGAAGTACGAGTAGGTGATACGAAAACATAGTCATGTGAATTACTTAAATGCTATACCTACAGAACGATAAATTCTAGTAAAACCAATAAGTCTGAGTAGTGATCAACCATTATAGAGGACATGTCTTTTATAGATGTTCGTATAACGTCGTATATCGTATAACACTTCACAATTATATATTCATTTATAACTTTAAATCGCTTGTAATTACCTCTCATATTATAATAACGAAGCTAGCTACAATTTCCTTCATTATTGTTTGTTTTGTAAGTCGCAATTATACTTCCTTTTGTACATGTTGTGTGTTCCTTACAAACACTGCTTGTTTTCAGTTTTATTTAATTTTCGCAGGGCATGATTGGTACTCCTGGAGATCGTGGAGAAAGTGGACCTAGGGTTAGTATTAATATGTGTTTACTTTAAAAGATACAGTAAGGCAGCCAATAAATAATTAACAGTTATAAACCGCCATGTGATTTATTTTTAACAACAATTATTTAAACATTGTGATATTTATTCAGGGCTATAGAGGACCACGCGGGCGTCGTGGTTCTGATGGTGCTCCAGGCCCTAAAGGAGATACAGGACAACCGGGCCCCCCAGGGTCAGTAGGAGAACGGGGTCCACAGGGTTTAGAAGGTGTCCGTGGTTTTCCAGGAACAATTGGACCTCCAGGGCCTGAAGGAAAACCGGGGTTACCTGGACCACTTGGGGAACGTGGACCTACGGTAATATAAAACATTAATTTTAAAATTTTACTAATAAACATTTACATATTTAATCCATGTAATTAATTAATTGATATTTAGGGAGAGCCAGGTGCAGTTGGACAACAAGGCCCTATAGGTGCTATAGGTCCACAAGGACCTATTGGAGAACCAGGACCACAAGGTCCTCCAGGCTCATCGGGCATACCTGGTACACCAGGCGATGTAGGAGCACCAGGCGAAACAGGGAAAGAAGGCCCACCAGGGCCACCTGGACCTGAGGGCAAACCGGGACCTATCGGGTCATCAGGACCACCAGGTCAACCAGGAGAATCGGGCTTACCAGGTGTAACCGTAAGTTACTGCCATACCAATGACTAATGAAAAAGTACAGTACGTAAAAAACTATTATTAAAAGGGTTAAGGAACTATTTTCCCAAATTCTACACATAAAAAAAGAAAAGAAAGTCCATCAATTCAAACTTATTGTTAGTAACTTATAGTTACTAACAAACTATATTCGAGTTAGACTAGTAATTTAAAAATTACATAATTTGAGTAAAGTGAAACGTGTCTCTTTTAAACGTACATTTTTACACATAGTAGGTACGTACTTAGGTTGCCTTGTTTTTAACAATGTATTAATGTTATAATTTAGGGACCACCTGGAACAAAAGGCGATATTGGCCCTCCAGGACCACCTGGAATACGTGGAGATAAAGGAGAACCAGGTGAAGCAGGTCATGAAGGACTTCAAGGACCTCAAGGTCGCGAAGGTCCTAGAGGATCACCAGGACCAGGAGGTCAAAAAGGAGAAATAGGAGAACCGGGTCCAGTCGGTAAGGACAATAATACTAGTGACGTCAAAAAATAGCAAACTTTTAGAATTGTGGTTGTTGTGATGAACAGAACAGAAAACAGTTACGTCTTTATTATATTTCAATCACCATAATACTAAACTTAATTTAAGTGTATCTATATGTAGTGTATCGACTTATTTTCACGATTGTTAATATAAATTGGAAATTCTAATTGCTCCTCTTTCGTCTTCTACTTTCGATTTTTCTTTAAGGCGCCATTGGTCGAGATGGACTTCCTGGTCCACGCGGACTAGCTGGAGCTCCGGGTCCTATTGGATCTCCAGGTGAAGATGGAGATAAAGGTGAAGCGGGACCACCAGGAGAAAAGGGCTTTAAAGGAGCCACCGGTGAACTTGTAAGATTACTTATAACTACATTTATATATGCATGAAAAGATTGAATGCAGTAATAAAAGTATAAATAAAATGTAACTATTGACGAAAATTCCTGTACCTAATAAGAAACATTTTCAACTGTCGACATTGTGGGAACGTGACATGAAAAGCTTACATTTTACTATGATTATTTAAATCCAATTCCTATCCCCGTGTATAGTATTTTATATTACTATAGATTAATCGATTTTAAGATTAGCGAATTAAATTGAAATTAATACTTTTTATTTTCAAGTAATAATCACCTATTAAATTTTCAAAGTTGTGCACTAATAAAATTATATGTATATGTCAATTTTGACCAAAGACCTTGTTTCTTCAAGCATTGTAACTGCATTAGTGATCTTTATTCACTTATAGGGACCTCAGGGTTCGTCAGGTATACAAGGTTTAAGAGGAGAATCTGGTCCTATTGGACTGCCTGGAGATAAAGGTCCTCAAGGTGAACCAGGACCTCCGGGCCTACAAGGTGCCGATGGAGTTCGTGGACCGCTTGGCCCACCAGGACCTACCGGGCCTCAAGGAGAAAAAGGTCAACAAGGCATCAAAGGAGATACAGGAGATATTGGGCCTATGGGTAAATTTATTTATTCCAATCAATAATTATTTATTTTCATTATATATACCTTTAGATGTAGTATATCTGTAATAAAACCAAAAACAAGCCCCATATATCATCTTTTTATTATGTTTTAGGACCCACTGGTCCAGTTGGTCCTAACGGACTACCCGGTAGGCGTGGACCTAAGGGCATACAAGGCGAACCAGGTCCTCGAGGAGCAGAGGGTCAACATGGAGATGTAGGCAATCCGGGTCCAACTGGACAGCCAGGGCCCCAAGGACCCGAAGGGAAATTGGTGAATATTATCAACACTTTTTTAATTCTATAATTTCAAAATATGACAGTTATTCACGTCTTGTTTTATTTTAAATACAAATTAACTTTGGACTAATACACAATATAAATCGATAAAGAGATCTGATTTCAATGTTTTATTGCATTTAGGGACCCAGAGGACCCGTTGGACCTAAGGGAGAAGATGGTCCACCAGGTCTACAAGGAGAGCCAGGACCAAAAGGGCATCCAGGCCCAGAAGGACCTAAAGGCGACACAGGACCTCTAGGATTACCAGGAGAAAGGGGAGAAACTGGGCCTCAAGGTATTAAAGGTGAACCAGGAACAGATGGTCCAGAAGGTAGCACAGGCCCTCCTGGACCACCAGGATCTACGGGACCACCTGGGAAACCGGGTGAAACTGGAGTACCCGGAAATCCGGTAAACATTGATATCTATAATAATAATAATAATAATAAAATCAGTAAACAATTCACACTGCGCCTCGCACATCTCGTCCCAAGCTAAGTAGAGCTTGTGTTATGATTCCAGACAACTGATATGAATACATAGATTTTTTTAACATAGATGAATATATATATAATATGTAGAAAACACCCAAACAGTCATATTATTAATTCATTTGTATTTATGAGTGTGATTGTTTGCATCGGAGAATAATCATACTTACGTACAAACATTCATATTTATACAGTACAAGGATTCGAACCGAAAATAAGGTAGTATGCTAAATAGTTACTCCACCGAGGCCGTCTAAAAAATTATTAATTGATACACTAATTTTATTATTTATTTTTAATATTATAATAATGCACTATTATTATGAATTAATCAAAACATACAAAATCTTGTATTGTTTAATTAGAAGTAATATAAGTTATAAGCATTTCTTTTTTATTATTTCGTATAGTTAGCCTGAATATTTAGCAAATGGTCTCACATCGAGTATAATAAATCATTGATTGCATTTATTAATTTTAGGGATCCGAAGGACCAGCTGGTACCCAAGGTAGCACCGGTACACCTGGTGAAAAAGGAGATATAGGACCAAAAGGTGCTGTTGGCGAGCCTGGTCCCGTAGGGCCTATTGGTCCTCCAGGCGAAGAAGGACAGCGTGGCGTACGGGGAATTCCGGGACCCAATGTAATTATATGTACCTCACAAATTTCCAAATATCTATTGGCTAAATAATTAATAATATTTAATTTAAATGTCCCGGCTAATTTTATTACTTTCCTACAAAGTTATTATTAATGCACATAATTACAATACTTACATTTTTGATATTTCATATAAGTTTATGGGCTTGATCTGGATTATATTTATATATATTTAAATAAAATATCAAAGCATAATTACAATATTTACATTTTTGATATTTCATAAAGTTAAAAGTTTCACAAAAGTATATCTTTTATCTTTAAATATCCATTCGTAGGGTGATGTGGGAGCTCCAGGTGTGGTTGGTCCTTCTGGTCCACCTGGAAAATTGGGACCAGTAGGAGCACCAGGACCCAGGGGCGAAAAGGGGAACAGAGGACCTAAAGGACACATTGGGGATACCGGTCCAATGGGATTAAAAGGTGATCAAGGTGAAATAGGAAAACAGGGACCTCCTGGACCAGTGGGGCCAATTGGACTTAAAGGCGATACGGTTAGTACCTAATAATAAAACTTTAAATTTAGTATCTATGTATAAAAGGAAAATTCGAGCTACCTTTGATAATTTGATAAAACAAACACGTTTATTACTTTATATATTAGGTATTTAGAAAACTAAATAAGTTAAGATTCCACAACCAGGAATGATAATACAATTGTGTGTAATGATGAACGCCAAAGATGTACGGCCCGTACATCAATATAAATTCATAATTGCATATTTCACATATAACAACGTCCATAATTGCAGGGTCCTGTCGGACCACCAGGCCCAAAAGGAGATACTGGACCAATTGGTCTCTCTGGGCCCGAAGGTCCCGTAGGACCTAAAGGAAATACTGGTCCAGAGGGAAGACTTGGCCATCCTGGGCCACCAGGTTTACCTGGACCACCAGGATTACCTGCACCTCCTCCTCAACTACCAGCTGAGTTATTTAGTTCTCGACGTCGACGGAGTATTAACACGGACTCTTATGATTCTACAACAGAGGATACTTTCGAAGGTAACAAAATTTACCCTGATAGATACATAATTCACCATTCATTTTACATAACGGTTGAATGGTATCGCATAGGTACAATATAGCATATTAGGAGAATAAAAGCATGCCAAAATTCAACGGATGGATTTAGTTTACGGTTGTAGATTTTATTATCGGTTATCCACCTAATCAGGAAATCCTACATGATGACCGACTAACGGAGTCATTTATCATTTTGAATGGATAAATGTGAACTACATGATTGCTGCTTTTTGTAGATGAAGAAATAGAGTGGGTGCAAGAAATAATGAACGGAGTAATAGCGGCCCGCGCGGAACTCGATGCAGCACGCAGACCACGCGGCTCGCGCATTAATCCCGGACTCTCTTGCCGTGATTTGCGCAGTACACATGTCAATTTAACTGACGGTAATTATCAACACTACTACATAATATTTTAGTGTCTATCCAGCACTCAGACCTGAGAACGTCAATACCGGTAGGGTAATCAATAATTAAAAAAAATATATATTAAACAGCCTCTGAAAATTTTTATTTGGATAAGAAAAATTTCATGATATAGGTAGCTATGTGATATATATATATATTCATATAAATGAGTAACTTTATAGTTTATCTGCTATGACATGCTATCGTACAATTTTACTATTTCGAATTCTTGATATTATTAAGTATGGGCAGGAAAGAAAAATCGTAATTAAGCTTCGATAGAGTCATTCATGAAAACGTGATTATGATTAGTAATCAGTTGCGTTATGTTCAGGGTATTACTGGATTGATGCACGTGGCGGTGGACGACCACTTCGAGTCTTCTGCCAGGGAGACAATACTTGTGTGCAACCTGACATTGCAGAACAGGCGACTTACACGACAGATGGCAACTCAATTAAGTTCTCTAAACTTGATAATGGATATCGGGTATATATAAAAACATTGTTATTGTTAATACACTAATGTACATCTTTATTATATGAGTTTTCATTTACAGATAACGTATGACAACGAAGGCTCTGGCGCGGTACAATTGCGTTTCTTGAGATTATTATCGAGTGAAGTTCGTCAGAACTTCACATACAGATGCGTCGATACTAAAAGTATTCAAAGGTAATAATGGTTAACAAAAAGGTTAGTTACAAAAATGACATGCTAAGTAATAAATAATTATTTACAGAACTGATATACCCTCGAAGCTGACGAGATTGAACAATGTTAAACTTTTCGGCTACAATTCGGCTGAATTCAAAGAACCGCAAATTGTAAAGGACGATTGCAAGGTAATCGTAGTTACATTTACCTAACTAATAACTAACAGACTGTCTTGTCCACAGCGACAGATTGTAAGAAATAAAACTACATAATTGCGCAACAGGCAGTAATTGCGAATCAAAGCCTAACCTGACAAAAGAAAAATCTCAATGTATTTTTCTCTATCAAAACACAACATACAATAACATGCAATAAAGTAAATGTATCTAACATACGTCTGCAACAAAGAATTTTTGCCGCAATCCTGATTAAGAAACGCGGATAAAAAGTGGGCATTGCCCACTTTTTATTTGTGTGGACATTGTGGCCAACTATAGTTTCTAACAAAGACCAAATGTTTTTAACTCGGTTATTTGTTAAAATCCCTCACTCTGGATATATTTTTTTACAGTCGGGATCTGGAGAAATAGTTCTGCAAATACGAACATCGCGTATTGAACGATTACCTATAAGTGACTTCCAAACACTTGGATATATGGACGCAGATCATCAATTCACGTTTATAGTGGGTCCCGTGTGCTTTTCCTGATACAGACAAATATACACGATTGTAAATATGTAAATGAAATATATTTATCAATATGTACTTACTTAGTCTCGGACCTTTGTAAATATTGTAAATAAATGTTGTCACGGCCAACGTTCTTTTTATTACTTCCATTCATTTAATCCACCTGATAAATAGTCAGCATTAACATTCCACCAACGTCATTTTTTTAAAGGATTAGAATGGAATGCTTACAAGGAGACGTATACCTCACAAGGAGTGTGAGGTATACCAGTGGGGTATAAAATGAGTATGAGGTCAGGTGAGTTAGCGTATCCTGATAAATTCGCCAGAAAGTAACCATTGTATTATACATTGAATGCCTAACAAAAATTATTTTGATCTTCAAATCTATATCACCTACCAGAAATTATACTTGCTTCCTCTCACTGTTTATAGATATTTACCTGTTTTATTATAAGTTAGAATCACATGCACTAACGCGAGGCGAGCCTACGGCGTCATTGTATTCAAATCTGTCAATGGTAATGAACTAATGACATGTACTCCCGCTGGGGTGTCTGCCCAACATATATGTTGCAAAATATTTTTTTTTATACTATGACGGTGGCAATCAGGCACGGCCCATCTGATGGTAAATTGTTACAGTAGCCTATGAACGTCTGAAACACCAGGAGTATCACGTGCGCGTTGCCGACCCTTAAGAAACCTTAATATACCCTTCTTGAAAAATCCCATGCTGTAGTCTCGTGGGAAAACCTCGGCAGGAAGTTCATTCCACAATCTAAGTGTACGCGGGAAACTCCTCTGAAACCGCACTGTTCGGGACCACTTAGGTTCCAGCGTGTGGGGATGAATTTCCTGTCGATGGCGAGCGGTGTGGTGGTAAAAAGTGGCTATCGGCATCATGTCGAACAATTCCTCAGAACACAGTCCGTTGTATAATCGGTAGAACACACAAAGCGAAGCGAAGTCTCGCCTCAAGCTAAGTGGCTCGATACCGCCAGAGAGATTGGGATCGACAATTATCATAGCACGTCTCTGAACCGAATCAATAGGACCGAGCTGGTATCCAGGTGCTCCCGCCCAAAGATGAGAGCAGTACTCCCAGTGCAGCCGAACCTGTGACTTATATAAGAGAAGTCTCTGGTCCGCATTGAATAGAATAGAACAGAACAGAACAGAACAGATAGAATAGAAAATCATTTATTCAAATAAACTTACATTGAAGCACTTTTGAATAGTCATTACATTTTTTTAATCTACCGCTCGTTCGGAAAGCTGTCTCATCACAAGAAGAACGAGCAAGAAACTTGCGTGTTGCTCTTTTAAATAATTTTATTATTACTTTACATTTTTAAGTTTAAGTGTGTGAATACAAACCACCAATTAGCACTAATTCAATTAAATACTCAAATAGAAAAAATATTGAATATATAACCAACTGGTTAAACAATTAATAAGAGGAAATCAGTCATAGTGATTAGAGTGTATGACGGATGAACCAGCCATCACTGCGCTCGACCATCTTTTAGGGAGCCCAATGACCCGGCCCATCACGCCGCCACAAGTCTGGACATTTTAGTGAGCATGACTACTCAAAACACTAGACCACGTCAAAGCTACTTACAATTGCCATCTGATAGTTATAGTATTCACATTTTACATAAGAATGCATGCGGCAATCAATACAAAAACCGCTACGCTTTCATATTTCTAAAATCAATCAATTAAATCAAGAAAGCAATAAGAAAATGAAATTTTAACGTTGTATGCTAATAAACTAATTATTTACTTGATATGTTGTCATCTATGAATTCGTCTATCCTGTAATAGGCTTTCTTACATAAAAATTGTTTAATATAAGATTTGAATTGCCTCTCTGTCAGATTTAATGCAGATTCTGGCAGTTTATTATGAAGTACCGCCTCGCTCTATTGAGAACACCGAGCTTCTTGGACGCCAGCTTTATCTTTTCTTCCAGGTGACTGCGGAACTCAACAGTACTAGAGATGTTGACACCGAGAATTCCAATACTCTTAGAGATGGTAACGGACGTGTTTTGGAATTGAGGAGCCACAGCAAAAGGGGTTTTCTTTTTGTACAAGTCAGTGAAATGTAAAGGAAGAAAGATTGAATTTTATTTCGCACTTTTACAAAGTAAAATATTGTAGTCTGTGGTATTATAACGATGCAATTAAAAAAATATATACCTTCCATAGTATTTATTAACTCTTACTTTTATAAAAAAAATGTGATAGTATTACTTTATATGCATTATGTAATCATATACATGTCATGAATACAATTTTAAAATAATAACTTTAACACACTAATTATTATTCCTTTGTTATATAATCACGTTATTTTAAATGCAGTTAATTTATACAATATATATTCCATACCGTCTCAGCTTTAGCTTTGGCTTCTGTTATCTTCATTCCAATCAACTTCTCCAATATTAATTGATACATTATATTTATAGTCTATATACAGAACATACATATATTTATCAGTACTTCGTCCGGTATATTCATTCCAGATAGTAACTCGACAGACGCAATGTAATCGATCTTGCGCTTCATTTCTGCCACGCAGTAATTGTGTCATACTGTACAGGGCATTCCAAGTCCCACGCACCGCGCAGGCACATAAAGTGACTGAGAAAACGTGTTCAATTTAATTATTATACATAAAAGCAGTACTGCACAAGATTAATTTCTAAATTCTGATATATCCTAAAGATTTATGAAGAAAACGTGTTAAAAATCAACGAAATAACCTGTATTTTATATATGCAGGGAGATACTGTGCATATATAAAATACCGTTTGTGATCATTACATAATTATAAGTAAAATTAGTGAAACTGGTAATATGAATTATTATTTCAAATTTCTGTCTATTTTTGGAGATTTGAAACAAAGTAGGGTTACTTTTAAAAACAAAGTAACCCTATTTTATTTTTAAAATAATCTTGCAATTATGAAATAATCACAATTTTCGGGTACTATTCAGTTATAATATCGCAAATAGAAATATCGCTTATCTATTTTTATTGTGGGTTTTAAATAACCTTTCGAGTTGAACCCATCATAAAAAACGCATATACAACACTCGACGAAGGGGTTATTTCTCAGCAATTATAGTGTTACTGTTATTTAATTTATATTAAGGTTTTAACCCGCTGATTACAGATCAGCGGGTTAAAACACAGAACACAGAACTGGAGATAAGAGTGATAAGTGGAATAAAAGAGAAATGTATCATCTAAAAAAAATAAAACATTGTATTAAATTATTTAAATAAAACAATTTTGCTGTAATCACAATAGTCTTTGTGTTACTATTATGTACCCACCCACCCATGTAGGTATATCACAGTTTTAGCTATCCGTGAAACATCTTTTCTTACTACATCTAACCCTAATCTGAAATTATTGACTCGAAATAGCAATTGTGGACTAGATGTAGATAATAAAAAATTCTCAAAATGTAGACATTTTACGTTTGGATTTTTTTATCAGGAAATACATGAATTCAATAACCTATCCTTACCTGTCGTATGCCTGCCTGTATAAATAATATTAATTGTCATGATGCACTAATACTCGATAATTATTGCTCGTAACTTTAATACAATACAAAGAAAATTTACTTAATAGGAACAATTACAAGTATATTTGCTCCTATGTTTACGCAATAAGTTACATGGCTTTCAAAAAATAAAACCGTAATTATAAGTAATTTCAACAATTACAAACTAAACGATTTTCCCTGTACACAATTAATAAAAACCAATCAAGTAATGAAAACATATTTATCATAGATATCATTGTGTAATGAAAATTAAATACTATTATACCTACCCATTATTTCCATTCTAGAACATTTAACTATGGCCGTCTACTTCAGTATGTTCACTAGTTTCTGCTTTATTCAAATCTTGTTGGTTTACTAGATTACTTGTCAACAACTCAGATGTTTCAGTACTACTCTTCAATTTATCGATAGTTTCCTTTGCATACAGTATTTTTGTAAAACCTTCTTTTGAAATATTTATATCAACAGATTTACATTCTCCACTATTAGATATATTTGTCTCAAAGCTAATTTCAACAGCATTCTGTTCATCTCCTTTCACATTATTAACAATTCCCAAATCAAGTTTACTAGGAGCATTAGACTCAGTTGTTTTTGCTATATTGTTGCTATTATTTAATTTTTCAGCCACATTTGCTTGATCAATTAATATTTTTTCTGTTTTTTCAAGTATTGTTTCTGTAATTGCTTTTGTAGGATCATCCGAATCTTCGGATGAATTGTGGTCAGCTTGATCTAAACGCTGCACAGTTTTTTCAATAGTAGGTAATTTATTTTCATCACAATTTCTATTAGAAACAATACCTTCTTTAAACTGCATGGAACAATGTATTTCATCAGAGACTTGCTTAGATTTACCATTCTCCTCAGTGATAATATTCAGGTGATTTTGGCCTTTAAAGGTAACTTTGTCCTTATCTATTCCTTCAATTACTGTATCGCCGATTGACAATTGGTCATCCTTCAAATTAACGCAATGGTTGTTTTCTAAATTTTCTTCTTTATTCATATTGGCTTCATCATCTGTTGATGCAAGGAGAATATCTTCAATAGACTCAATATATTCGTCATTGTTAGTAGAAAGTTTATTCTTATCTGTGCCAGTAACCAGTTCATTCTTTTCATCATTACAAACTGATGTAGTTTGTACAGTCATTTCGTTTACAGTATTTCTCATTTCTGAATTTATAGTACTGGTTTCAGCAGTTTTATTAATTTCTGATTCAGAATAACTTGAATCTTCAATGCTAATTACATCACTATCGTCTATTATATCGCTGTCTTCCAATGTATCAGAAATAGCAATTGGACTATCAGAACCACTAGATTCCACACTTGAAGAGTTCACCTCATTTTCAGAGTGTAACTTCTGTAAGAGATGTAACTCATCTATATCAGAATCCGACGCATTTTCATAATCACTATACGACTTTTGATCAACCGACACTTTGGATTCATTATTATCTGGCACAGTAGAAGTAAGTATTTTGTTAGTATCATCATTTGCTTTTAATTCTTCATTTACACTATTTTGATTTGTACTCACCAAATCTTTTGATTTTTCAGTGTCGGAGTTAGGAAATGCAGTTGGTGCATTTTCTTTATCTTTAATTGCAGTCATAGAAGTTTCTGGGTTTTTTTCTTGATGATTTTCACAATTCTTTTTGGATTTTTCTTGAATTAATCTTTTCAATCTTTCTTTTCTTCTATTTGTATTCTCTAACAATGCTTCATCAGCTGGTTCACCTTCCTCATCTTCACTCTCAACTGGTGACTCATCTGCTTCTTTGTCTCCAATTTCTTCTGGTTCTAATTTCAATAGATTTTGCTTGTCTGCAAACCTGAAAATTATATTCATTACTATACACCACACTTTTGTTGCCTAACAAATAAAGTTGGAAGGTATACATAGACAGGCCAAGAATTATAATCAATACAAAAAAATTGGAAATTTCTCAGAATATACAGTAAAACATATAACCGCCTAAAATTAACACTTTTAGAAATTATTTATATTCATTACATTACTATACACCACACTTTTTTTGATTTTCAGATTCAGAGGATTTAATTGTATTGCACCCTACTTCACACTTAAGCCATATAACTTTTATATGGTTTGAGAGCTCATATAGCAAGGCTTGTGTGTGAAAAATCCCAATTAATTCTACGCAGTAGTTTTTGGTTGGTGCCCTTTTTATAATGGAGAGTGATAAGCAGTATTTTCCACATATCTCACTGTTTTACTAGAGAAAGGGCAGCAACAAGATTATAAAACGTTTTTGTATAAAAAAAAAATATATAAATAATACAATTTATAGACCAGAAGCCCTGCATGGGTTTATATTATCATTAAACTAGCCTCCTCTGTATATAAAATTTTATATTAGCCACTTGGGTAATACTTCAATACTTCGATTATATGCAAACTGGATACTTATATTAAAACTTTTATGGTACTCACTTATTGAAAACTTCAGTCTCTTTTTTAGTAGCCAACTGACGATTATGTGTTAACTTAACCTTTAAATCTTCATCTTTTTCAGCTGGATCTATATCTAATGAAAGCCTGGAAGCTGCTAATCTCCATTCATTTTCTTGCCTACGTCTCTGTAGTTTCTTACCACATCTTGTGAACAATTCACGAGCTGAAACATTATTGTAATAATCACTATATATTACAGTATTTAAAACAGTGTACATCTTATGAACATATATTTCAATATGTTGTGCATATTATGGACAAATCTAATATTGAGGTTACTGAGAACTAATAGCTCCAATGCTAACTATGTCAGGTCGACCTCCATGAGGTACCCCTTTGAAACCACTGTGGTTAATACCTGATGGTTTCTTCACAATGGGTTACCTGATCTGACCTCATTGTCCTCTCATTATCCTCCACTGGTGCCCCGCCCGCGTATACCATTAGCGCAGCGCAGGCAGGTGCACCATTCAATTAACACCCATAAAAACAAATATTACATTTACTTCCAATTAATAACAGTAGACTATTCCTTCAACCAGTCCCACCACCCTATCATTGGTGGTGTTACACTAATTGCTAGTTGTTCATGAACAACATGAATCTTAATCATGTGTACCACATGATACTAAAAACCATATTAATATCTATTTTGTGGTTTATCAGGAATAAGAACTGAGACTAACAGGCGAAAACTGCGACCATACAAATTAAAACATATAGTAATTCTCACCTTCTTCCATAATATCTGCTTCATTCCACCCGAGGTTATCACTCTCATTTGCCTCTCTCACGCATCGGAGAACATCATGAAAATCTGGGAAAGGCAATGGTGTGCCAATTGGAACCTTTTTATTTATCCACTTCTCTAAACGTTTGGCGGGACCTGATGGACGCCCAGGCCGTGCATCTATCTGAACACGCGGTTCTGATGGCATCTTTGTATTTGTCAACTGACAAAATTTTGCATGAACCCTGACCATTCTCTCTTTGTATCTGAAATAATAATAATAATATCTGAGGACAATTCCGCAGCACCATCTAGTCTGAAGCTAAGCATAGCTTATGTTTTAGGTATTATATAACTGATATAAATACATAAATACTTTTTTATATGAATACACATACATAATGTGCATATAATTTCCTTAAATTCTGAGTATCATCAAACTGACACACATTTCCATATAGTGAATAGCATATGCATACTTAATATTGCCTGTTATATAATATGTACTTAGTATCACTGCCAAAATAACTTGAAATTGATATATAGTAGTATAAAGTGAATCAACTATTATAAAAAAGTGAAATTACTTTCTCACTAACTGTCCAGAATATTACAACAAAATTTTATTTCATTCATACAAAACATTATAAATAAAATAATAATTTGTCATGACCATATATCACCAAATTTACACTTAAGTGGCCAAAATATTTAAAGTGGCTTGCAAATGTTTTTTTATTTAGATTATTTCTAGATAGGGTCATCCTAAATAGCTAGGGCATAAAAAATAGCCTTCAAGCTATTTTTAGAACTACTAAACATACACAAAACATCATAGAATTTAATGATTGATACCTTTCAGTAAGTAAATATACAGAATCTTCTTCATCATCAAAATCGACTTCCTGCTCCTCTAGTTTCTGAATTGCTCTATGCAATTTCTTAAGTGTCTTCTCCAATTTACGGATTTGTCTTTGACGGTTTGAATCAAACTCACTGTGTTCACCATATAAGAAATTATCCACTACAGTCTCTGAAACAGTTGAAACATTTAGTTAGTTTAGTTATTTGAAATAAAATTGCATTTTGTATTTGCACTTCAACCTTACACACAATATTCAACAGATTTAAGGAATTCTTATTCTGTTACTCAATGAGGTTCTATAATAATGCTATTAAAACTTAATAAGTCCCAGAGATATAAAAATTTTTAAACAAAGAAATCATAAAAGTCAAATTTTGTAGTATACATATACAATTAATTCTCAAGTTACAGTTAATTATGTTACATCATACAGTTAGTTAATGGGATGAAATTATAGCATAAGAAGGTGCTTTGTCATTTCTAAGCCCTAAGGTGTATCCTTAGGGCTTGGAAATGACAAAGCATAGGTGAGATAGTGGTGTCACAATACAATTTATATACATAGGTGACCATGACCATACTGTTTTTCTAAATTCCAGTTGCTAGCTGTTTAACCTAAACTTTATCACCCATCACAAAATCAGAGGACAAAATCTACATACTTTCAAAGTAACTTAATTCAGAATTAGTTCAAAAAAATTACTACTATTGTTTATGTTTACCTCCAATTTCAGCCCCTTCCGTTTTCAGTAATACTGAAATAGTTATTTCATAATTATTAATGAAAAAATGTAAATATAGATGCAATATATTACTATCAAAAATAAATTTAATCTTCCTGATAGTAAAGAGTTATAATGTAATGATAGATAATAAATTTCTAATCTATTATTAAAAAATCTTACCTGGCACATTATTTGCACTAGTAGACACTTGTGATTTTGCCATTTTCCGTTGCATATTGAGTTCATCAACTATATCTTTTATGTATAAATACATTTTCTCAGGTCCAGCCTTCATTGCATTTATTTTACTTGATACCATTTCAATAAAATCTTCTGACTCTGTGTAATCTTTTGAAACTTGTTTATAGTATGTTTTAACCTTTTTCTCTACAATTTTTTTCATATCTTCAGAGTTTTCTAATTGGAAACACAAGTCAATAAACTGTTGATAGACAGGATGAAAACTAATGTTTTCCTTATCAATTTTGTCTTGCATGTTTGATGCAGAAAATTCTACCTGTAGTTTTGTATGATCTTTCTTTGGCGTGCTTGTGTATTGTTGCACTTCTTTAACAGGTGATTCCTCTATTTCAACAATATCACAAATTACAACATTTTTTGCCACATTAGTTTCTTTCACCACTGTTGTCACAGGTTCAATTTCTATCTCAATGATATTATTCTCTTTAGATTCTTTTGGGTACTCCAATTTTTTCTTACTGTGGGGTACCTTGTCTTCAGTCAAAGTCTCTTCCTTATCACTATGGCCACAAGAGTTTTTGGTTTGCTCTACAACTTTAACAGGACTATCTTCTATAGTAACTTCAATTTGATTTTCAACTATTTGCATTTGTTTTGTTGTTGGTGGCTTTACAGGACTATCCTCAATAGTTATTTCTATTAATTTATTTGGTTCCGGTTCTCTGTTATTCTCTTCTTCTAGAGGTACAGTGACTTGTTGCTCAGGCCTCAAGTACCACAAAGGACTCGCAGTGGATGCAACTGGTGAATCCTCATCATCAAGCTCCACAGTCAGAACTTGCTTAGAGTTTCGAACAGTATGATTTGGTTTAAGTTTTTTTCCAGAAACATTTAGAATCTGAGAAACCCCTGGCCGTTTAAGGGGACCTGTTGTTCTTTTAACTGTAATACTTGGTGGTAAATTATTTAATGACTGAGGGCTATGTATTTTAATAGGATTTTTTAACATAGGAATTTTATTGACTATAACTTGTGAACAATTATTAATTTTCTTAAATAAATTGACAGGATTAATAGCCGTTTTAGAAGGCAAAAGAATAGGTCTTTGTGTCTTGATATTAGGTTTCATTGATGCCTTTTGTTGTGGGTTTCCATTTACTTTCTCTCTATTAGAAAATGGGTTACATATTGCATTATTTTTTCGGACTTTCGTCATTGTAACAAGTTCTCTTGGTGATTTCTTAATGGTACATGTTTTAGACGTTGCCGGTTTTATTGTTACTCCATGCAGTTTCGTAGGTATGTGTACCATAGCGTTTAGCCTGGGTTTGATCTGAAATAAACGAATTAACAGTGAAACAATGTGAAATATATGTACATATATAATAATTCACATGCCATATTACAAATTGTTATACTTACTTTCTTTGGAGCGGGTTCGGCTTCATCGTCTGAAGACCCTAATTCTATTACATCCTCACTAGCCATTTCGAATTCCCCTTTCACCAAATTCACTAGTAAATATTAGTTTTGAAAGTATTAATCATTACACTTCATATAAGTATTAACAGAGTTATTGATATTTATTTAATAAAAATGGGATACATATATTATAAAGACTGACTCCGTTTGACATAAGTAAAAGAGAAACAATATGAAAATATATCAAACACAATGGACGCATAAAGTTAATGACGGTGAAAATCGGAAACAGCAGTCAGTATTGCCAACTTAAACTTTGTATTTCTGCTAAAAGTGAAAATCGGCAAACGTATATGATACCACTGAACGCCGCTGACGTGTTTGTAAACATCTCTAAATTGCTTGTAACTCTATGCATTTCTATATGCATTTTTAACTTTTCTAAGGTCTATTTATATAACATTCTAAAGAATCAATTATCTAATACTTGATCATCCGATCTTTTCTTAATGATCAAATATACAAAAGTTAGTGATACTAAAAAACTCAAAAATATCCCCATGAAGTGAAATATCAAAAAATTGAAATTGAATGAAAATAATCGATTATTGACAAAATACTATTAATATTACTGACATTATTACAATGCTAAAATAAACAATATATATATGTGTGTGTGTGAGTGTGAATAAGCAATATATATATATATATGTGTGTGTGTGTGTGGGTATGCAGAAAATGCACAATTTTATTACACAATACGCATTAAAATTGCAACCGTCGAACACAGTCATCTCATATTACCTTTTTTTTTTTTTTTTTTTCATCAGTCCGTATTGCAAAAAAACCTGAATATCCTACCCATCCGCCGCTCTGTGGCCCAAGTTGGATTAGATGGACCCTACGTGTCCATCCTCTCCCCTCCACTTCCGCCGGCCGGCGTGGGTGCATGGGCCTTCGGAGCGCGGCATTGCTTTCCGCTGCCTATCCGGTGGTCGGCGTCACGACCAGCCGCCGCGCAGTACCGACAATGCGGCTTCGGCGCGACGCACGACACGGCCTTATGACCGGCCTGTCCGCAGCGGAAGCACATGCCGCCGCAGTTAGCACCGCAGTTCGGGTCTAATCGTCCAAATTTTGACCCTTCGACGAGTAAGGGCAGCGCACCCACAAGGAGGAATAAGATTGCCACTAATATTTATTTAACTTCTGGCAGGACAGAGGCCAGCTTGTCGGCCAGCAAGTCTGCTTTCTCACCGGAGTCGCCTGGCACCTCAAGGATGCGCGCTCCGGTGATGGCCGGCTTGAACTTTAGCTCGGTTATCCTGAGCTCCGCGAGGGAAATCTTATCTTTCGCCTCGCGGAGCACCGAACTATATGTCATCCCCCCCTTTTCGGCTTCCGGCTGAATTGTAAGTACAATCGCCGATGAGCGGGGGGGGGCGCAGCCTTCTTTTCTTCGGCTTGGCCGATTCTTGTTTCGCCTGTGTGGGGGCCGCCTGAGCAGCCGGCGCCTTCTGACTTTTTGTCGCCGCAGAGCCCTTCTTGCCCCGCCGTACGACCATCGACCACCCCTCCTCTGCTGTACTTGTCGACGGTTGCTGGGACCTACATGAGCTGCTGGAGTTTTGGGCGGCGACTGCACAACGTCTTTCTTGAGTTAACATTTAAATCAAAACTATGCGACCTTCCATGTCGTCACTCGGTGTCGGGAGCACCGGTGGGTCGCATGACGTCACCTCTATCTTTTCCGGGATCGGCGGTGCGGGTGCAGGACTCGGCTCCGCGGAGTTCTGGGAAGCACTCCGTTGTGCCTTCCGCATACAAAGCTTTCTGTCGTAGCTCCACGTTGTCCTTGACGTAAAATGTCGGATCCGGCCCAGGTGTTAACCCTTTTTCTTGATTCCGCCGGCCATCTCCTTATCCATTTGGGCGAGACGCGGAATAATTTCTTTCAGGTCAAAGCAATTCAATTCCGCCGTTGCTGACCTAGGAAATTAAGCCCGACGGATCGAGGCAACAGCGTCCTTTATCTCCCGGATGACACTTTTCAGGTACCGGATCGGCGATAATCCACATCAACCTGCTTCCCTAGGTCTTCTGCGTGGCGCAACTCCTCCTCCTGCGATGGCCGACGGAATACCGGGCGCGCCGCCGGTTTCTTCGCCGACACATCCGAACCGTCGTCCGACAAACTGGCCGTGTTTCGGCGTCTCCAACAAAAAGCCGTGATGTAATAGTATTATTTTATATATTATATATATTTTATATTATATTGTATAAAACACTATTTACACTTTGGGTGCGGCTGGTGCCCAAAGGTTGGTGCCCTTGCGGCCGGAAAAAACACGCTCTATAAATGGTAACAATGTGTTAATACAAAAAAACATTTACGGTTTGAAGCCAGTTAACTGTCCGGCTTAACTCTTGTCAGTAGGCAAAGAAGAAAAAAAGAAAAGAAAACAGAGTTACAGAAAAGAGACGAAGAAGAAAAGACAAAGACGAAAACAGAAAAGACAAAAGAGGTCTCATTTTGTTTAGTTACTAGGGCGTACCAGAACAATACCATTGCTCGCCTTCGCCCGGACGTGTACATACGCCCCCATCTCATTATATATATAAAACATTTACAAAACAAAAAGAAGCCATTAACAAATGCTTGCTAATAAAAGCTTAAGCAATAAAATGAAGTGGTTTTGCCCTAATAGTAATAATAGTAGCAATTCATGGTATGAAAATTACCTAAGGTCTTGTAATAATCTACCAGAGTCCGACTACAAACTGCCAAAACAAAAAAGATGTAATAGTTGTATAAAACACTATTTGCAAAAAAAAATCTATAAATGGTAACAATATGTCAATACAAAAAACATAGCTTAAAATTTTTGGTGGTGGTCTATATAGATTGTTGTCTTATGTGAATATTACAACTTCATTTTTGCCAAAGTTTGTATGATTTAAGAATATATAGGGACAGAATCAGAGACAGCGATAAATAAAACAAATAAAATTAGTCATTTTATTATTGATTAAAAAAGTAACTATGTTTAGTTATAATGATGACATGATTATATATATATAAAACTTTCTCTAGAATCACTCTACCTATTCAAAAAAACCGCTTCAAAATCCGTTGCGTATTTTTAAAGATTTAAGCATATATAGGGACAGACAAAGACAGCGACTTTATGTATAACATAAAGTATATGTAATAATGATGATGATGCTATTGTATTAAAAAGAATTGTGTTTAGTATATGCCTTTTTTGTCCGAGTCACTGTTCATAAGTAGCCATGTTGTTTAAAAACCGGAAATAACAACAAGTATTAAAGTAAATGGGCTCAAGAAGAAAATGCTAAATTTTGACTTGACTGGAAAACTGCAAAAAAATACATCACTACAGTACAGATGGTATTTACCATAGAATAATATTTCTATTTTCTCAAAAATTGTCTGATCTGTAATGTCATTATTGTCATGTCACGTCATGGCTGTCATGCTATCTGAAGCTGTTGTTATGTACGAAATTAAAGTGTCAAAATAAATCGTGAATTCATTTCTAATTTCTATTTATCGATTAGATTAGGACAATGATCAAACTGTTTTCTTTAAAGCAACAAAAAAAAGATGAAGAAGGGTCTGCAAGGGCAGGCGGTTCACAAAAGAAAGCATCGGCGGCACAACTGCGGATTACAAAAGGTGATTAACATACACAAATTAATGTAATAATAGACCCTTATTAATTGTCATAGAAATCATATCTACTTCTTAGATCACAAAAATATATTTAACAATTCCAATCAAATTTGCTGTTTTACGTTTTGTATATATGTAATTTTATTAATGTCCAAACTCCAACTGATAATTAGGAAGTAAAGGCTTTCGAATTTGCATTTTGTAACTTCCTAAAAAACGTCTGTAAAATATACTTTCTTATCTATTCTAAGATGCAATATTGTCTGTAAAAACTTATTATAAATATGTATTAATAATTGTTGTTTCAGACTTGAATGAATTAAACCTGCCCAAAACATGTAACACAGAATTCCCAGACCCAGATGACCTACTTAATTTCAAATTAATCATATGCCCTGATGAAGGTTTTTATAGGGGAGGCAGATTTATATTTAGTTTTAAGGTCAGTTTATAATACATAGTAATGAGAAAAATATTTTAGCATTAACAATAGTAATTGTGGAAATTACTCTAATACTCTATCTAATGTAGATAACAAAATATTGACATTGTTGACTATCTATTTCTAGTGACTTTGTCTGCATTTTAGAGACATACAACCCTGGGACACTATGTGCATCCTCATTATTCAATATATCTTTATGTAAAATTTAAGATCCATTCAGCTGTGATGTAATAATTGTGAAAAGCAGCAGACACAGAAATTCATACATATAGATACATAATTATGTAGGAATCTTAGTTTTTAGTATAGTTATTATATAGAATAGAATAGAAAATCATTTATTCAAATAAACTTACATTGAAGCACTTTTGAATAGTCATTACATTTTTTTAATCTACCGAGACTGTCTCATCACAAGAAGAACAGAAGAAACTTGTCTTTTAAATAATTTTATTATTACTTTACATTTTTAAGTTTAAGTGTGTGAATACAAACCACCAATTAATTTATATAGTATCTTAGTTCCTACAAAAAGAGACTAAACAGAAAGTAAACCCAAGTTAACCTCTTAAAATTTGCATCCGATCGGCTCATTTGTTATCTGTATAGTAGTTTTTACCAAAAGTATTTAATATAATAATATTATTTAATATAATAAAGTACATACTAACCTACCTTACAAAATGGTTAACTATTTATTAAGTTTGCTTTAATGAATCATGAGACAGTTTGACATTTCTATTTTATGAGATTCCAGAGAACATAGAGGTCTTTGTCAATGACATAATTAACCTTACGAGTAAGATCCCTTAAGTAGTAATCTTGTACTTTTTATCTATCATCTTAAACTGAAAATTTCTCATTTTAAGATTATGGAGAAAAAAGTGCAAGATGTACATCCACAGTCCCAGAATAAAATATACAGAATAATAAAATAACATTAATAGCATATTTAAGTTTTTGTTTAGTAACTTTTTACTAATAATAATTTAGTACTTATACAGAACAGAATTTAAAATGTTCATCATAAATGCTTAAAACACATTTTTCTAATGATGCAAAACCGTTCTTTATTCTATGAGTAATCGTTTTCAACCTCTATCTACATATTATTCTAATACTATATATGTATAACATTTTGTAAAACTTAAGAAGAAATAAAATCAAAAATATTAATTAATAATGTGTATAAGTGATTTGTATAGGTTATGTGTATATTCTATAAGATGAATAATTTTTAATTTTTTGAATGTTTTATAGGTAGGACCAAACTATCCTCATGAACCACCTAAAGTTAAATGTGAAACAGCTGTATATCATCCCAACATAGACTTGGAAGGCAATGTGTGTCTCAACATACTCAGGGAAGACTGGAAACCTGTGCTAACAGTAAATTCTATAGTGTATGGACTACAATATTTGTTCTTGGTAAGAAGTAACCAACATCAGAATAGAAATAATCATTATTCAAACAAATATAATATAAGCACTTGAATCCTTTATTTATTTAAAAGAGCAAAATGCAAGTTTCTTGCTTATTATTTTTGTTATGAGTCTGTGTTTGAATGATTCTACCATTCATTCGGAACACAGACTAATCACAAGAACAAATAAAAAGAAACTTGCATGTATCTCTTTCAAATAAATTTTGTTCCATGTAAATACACATCAACATGGACAGGCATGTGACAATCAACATAGAAACCGCTAGGCACTCAATCTTTTTTCAATAAGATAACATTGTCAATGCTATGAATTTTGATGTAGTATTTTTTCTACAAAAACATTATTTATAAACTCTTCAATTTTATAATTTGAAGTACTTTATAAGCCATAACAGATGTCAAATGATAATATGTTGTCTGTAAAGCAATTCATTAATGTATATGATGGTTACCACTTACCATCAGGTGAACTATCTGCTCGTTACAAGTACATGGGGAAAATAATAGCATGTGTATAAAGTTTACTTACTCATGGTATATTTACAATAATTTAACCACAATGCTTTCCTACGTATACAATGTTAAGATGTTATGGTTACAACTGATAATAATGAGGCTTTACTTACTTTGTACATACCATTGTTAAGGAAAGATAAATTAGAGTAGAAGTATTAACTGTTATTAGTATTATGGGAATAGTGGTCACATTGCATAACAATTTACCATGTCAATACAGCATCAATGTCTCCCTCCTGGAAACTATAGCGATTATTTCCTGATAAATTAGCCAGTACGAGCTAATTAACTTGACCTGAACCATGAATGGTCATTCTGTCATCCTCCTCTGGTGCACTGCCACTGTTTACCGTGGCGCGGTGGGTCTTTCCATATTTATATTCCTTATAAAAAAACTTTATTTATAGAGACTTCCTAGAGATCTGAACACATGGGTTTAACATAATGATGTACTTTTGTAATCGTCAAGGCCTATACCGCTTATTCTGTCTGTACTATAAGCCAGTTCATACATTATATTGTTGTCAAAAATGAAACGCAGACCTCAATTTAACAGCAAAAAATTCATAACAGTTTAACAAAAACTGCTAGAACAAGAGATATTGGGTTCATGCTCACGTCATGTTCCTCGAATAATTTTACCATTAGCAATCGTAATTAATGACTCATTGAAATGTCAATAACAGGTCAAATATTCCATAATATAGTAGTTGTCGTATTTATTTACGCCATATTTATTTACGCGTTTTTAGCATTACACATACGTGAACTATGTATTTTTTCTGACAATAAAATTGAAAATTAATTAGAATATATATTTTCCAGGAACCAAATCCAGAAGATCCACTAAACAAAGAAGCGGCAGATGAACTTCAAAGCAACCGACGATTATTTGAGCAGCACGTTCAGCGCGCGATGCGCGGCGGATACGTCGGCTCCTCGTACTTCGAACGGTGTCTCAAGTGATCCGCCTTATAACACTGTAAATTAATGCTACCAACCCTATATAAATAAAACAATCTCAATATATTCTTTAATCCGTTTAATTAATTTATTCTTATATCAACTATTTTATAGTAATAGCAGATACTAAAAAATATAGATGGCGCTTATCTTATTTGTCTACATAATATAGCCTGCTCGGTACAGGTGGCGCTACTACAAATATGCGTAAGTAACGTTTCTATATGTTGAAATAATGTAAAGCATACAAACGGATCGTCATCTTTGTGTCTGTTGTTCGAGGTGACCGCATATCCGTGTATGTATATTTAAGTGAATGGCGTGCGAAGGTTATACAGCCCCATAGCAGACATAACGCAACACAAGGGGAGACAGGCGCGAAGTGAGCCGCAAGCAAGCGCCCGCGATCACTCTATCGCTGCTTGAGCGCCGCACGATCCAGTGTTACTCCGGACGCCGAACGGTTCGCGCACTCGTCGACAGTACGCTTTCACAAAACGTGGTCAAGGCAGTCAAAGCTATTTCGACACGCCACTCGGTTGCGAAAGTCTACGCGATGATATACAAGTGAGAGCCGACTTCGGACGCCAGGGTAACGCTCATCGCGCACGGTGAGCCAGTTTATTCGTCAGAGACATTCGAAACTCGCCAGCTGTGAGGGACGGGGGGCGCGCGACGCCGTCGGGTCGTACACGCGGGAGCAACGTTTCCACATACTTAACTGTGAGAGCAACGGATACCAATTTTTAATGTGTCAAGTCAGCATAGCTTATTGCTGCTACGTCAGATCGCAGAACGCCTCGAGCAGGAACTATAAGGTTATGCAAATGAGTTCTGAACGCTTTTATACCAGGGGTAATCAAAAGACCATTCATAACTTCAATAAACTTTAACGTTTAGGTTGTACCGTACAGTGTGTTGTTAAGTGCTTATCTCTCGTTTTCCTATCCTCTACTTATCTTTCGGTGTCGCGATCGCTAATTGCTAATTACTGTGGGAGTCAGTGATAACAAATCGTGGTAGCCGAATGAGCGTGTCGGAACCAGAGCAGCACCAGGTGGCGACTACGATGGCTGCACAACAGGAGGAGACGCTGCTCTCGCGCTGCGAGATACCCATTATCGACCTTGCGCATATAGGTGAGCAAATCGCCTCATTAAACACCTGTGCTTTGCATGCACGTTAAATGACGATACAACTAATAACTAATAAATTTATGTTATATACATATGGCTACTCCCTAACAGAAGGAACGAAGTCTCAAAGGCAATCTATTCGTATACTCCATTCATCTTCTCTTTTGTGAACACTACAAAGAGTACTTCGCTCAACGAAATAAAGATCCGTTAGTTAACACATTGTTTTTAGTATAATATATTAGGTACCAACTAAAACAATAATAGCTGACAATACAATAAAGACTTAAGTATACTTTTACCTGTTGCAGTAAATATAATAGGTAATAATTGTTCATGTAAAAACAAAATTTACCTGAGTTAGCCCCTATTAAGTTCACTCAATAAAGTTGCACGACAAGCCAACGACTAAGAGCAGCTGTGCTAGCGATGCTTTGTTTGTTGTCAAACACGATTCATGGCATCTATCGCGAACTGAGAAGTTCAAAGACCGTGCATTTGATCCCAACAGATCAGGATTCACCCACCCAGTTATCGTTGTAACATAAAACGTTAATCAATACTACAGTTAAACAATGAATGTTCGGTGAAAGTAATGAGTAAGTTGCTACGTACTAAATATAAACAGAGCGAGTTCAGTGAAACGATGAGTAATAGCAATGCCTATCTCGAATTAAGGTTTGTAGAATTGTAGTCCAATGCAACCAAATGTAAACGTCTGGAAGTTTATTGCCACCATTAATCTAGATAAAAAGCTGGTGGTCAGAATACAAATATTATACTATCATCAGATACTGTTGCTAAATTCTGATTTCTTTATTTGGCATGTAATTAGGCTTTATTACGTAATCACAAAACGTTTTTATAGCGAAACCTGATAGTAAAACACTGTGTCAGCGTCTTTGTTCACGTGTACATTTAGATAATTACATTTCAAGAGGATTAATATGTTTTATTTACGCCATCTATTGTCAAGTTGAGTTAACTAATGGTTATTTTCAATTGTTATACCTTTAAGGTATTTATTAAACTCTAAGGCCTCTATGTCGGTATGATATAATTTCACTTAAATAAATTGTAATTTTACTGGTTTTAAATATTTTTTCCTACGACTTATTAGTACCACGCAAGAATAATAGACCGCTACTAATCTTGCAGAATGTACTGTTGATAAGATATCAGTCAGATTATTTACTTAAACAAATTGGAAATTACGCAGTGTAATATTGTCACATGTTTGGAATAAAATTAACTAAAAATTTCACTATTTACGTTCGACATTTTTTCAAACGCAAGGTTATATTTCAATGCACACACATATTACACTAACAATAGAGGCCCATGTTAAAATATTTATATATACTTATTATAATTTATATGTATTTATTCGCGGTAAACTTTGTACAATGTTGGCTGCGTGAGTCTGTCTGCCTATCTCGCATGTTTCTACCTCCATGCAGCTTCCTTTTTAAGCTGTGTTTCAATTGATATAATATAATATAATGAAAATATGACAGTCAAATTATATCGTTTGGAAACATTACGTAGTCCTCTAGTAGTAGTTGATATAGAATCAATGTTACCACGGTCATGTTCATCAAATATGTTGATATGATGACCATAACCGTTAGCTAATATTCTGAAATCAATGGAAAATAAATTTTCCATTGATTTCCGAATAGAAAACATATTAAATTAAATACTATCATTATTAGTCAATACTATGTACAATTTTATATCTGTGCAAGGTCATAACACATGAAAAAATGCCTGAAGAGATCTCATGTGGAGTCGAAATAACAATATTACTTGCATTGTAGATATTAGTTTCGCTTATTTCTGTCGATAAGCAGCAGAGTTTCTTGCGAGAAATAGGATGTTAGAACACATATTATTAGACTAAATGACATATATTGTACATTCTATCTATTAATATATGAATTGGTTACTAACCAACCAACCAATTTGTGCCTTGTTTCAGAAATATATATAAATTAAATAAATAGAACTGCATATCATTTGGCACTATATCTATACATATAAATAAAATTGGAATGTCTGTTTGTAATATTGAAATAACCGTTTTTTACTACATGCATATGAATATACCTAAATACGGTACATACACCAAAATAACATTTTTTTTTAATTTTGGTCTGTCTGTCGGTCTGTTTGTTCCGGCTAATCTCTGAAATGGCTGGACCGATTTTGACGGGACTTTTTTTGGCAGGTAGCGGATGTAATAAAGAGTAACTTAGGCTAAGTACTTTTATTTTAGAAAAATAAAGTTAATTTCCACGCGGATGAAGTCGCGGGAACAGCTAGTATACAATATGTTTGGTAACGTGATATTCTCATCCCACAATCTTAATAGTACTTAAGATGTTAGCAACGATAAATGATATTATACATAATAGATGATAAATGACCGTCACAATGATAAATTTGGCTATGGTGACAATGATCAGTAGAATCCCACTATCCATCCGCAATATAGGCTAGGTCAGTTTATTCTTTACATTCCCATAGTTATTGTTACCATAATAAAAAAAAACTCGGAAAGCAGTGTACAATGACGGTGCTAAATACTATTTACCACGGGCACGATAATTGCCTTAGAAACACGACAAAGGCGGTATTCTAGCATAGTAAATAAGCATGGTCACTAACAATTCTATAAATAAATAATCTTTCTTTTATCTTTTAAAGACTCTGACATGGTTCATCACACTACAAAGCGTTGCGGAGCGTAGGTAACTGTCATTGTTTAACTTCACGTTCCCGTCTTTCTGCTTTTGCTGTACAGCATACAAATACTGCATAAATTTCACCTGTAATTATTTTCACCAATCAATCCGAGAGACGGCAGAAATGTCTCTATCATGTTGAATTCAAAATTGCCTACTAGTAGATATTTTATAACATATCAGCCGTTTATGCACTTGAGATGACACCTGTATCACACCAACTGCTACAGTTGATAATACCTGTTAATATCCCGTCAAGGTTTACTGTGAATATATGGTATGATTATGGAGTGGGTAGGTTTAACCATTTTCGAATATCATTAAATACCTACGAATTTAAGTAGTCATTTGTACTAAACAAGGAAGCGTTAACTGCAAACTGTAAGTCTCTATATGGCTATTTGGCCAATTCTGACTCAAATTCAGTAATTTATTACAAAAGCTTCCAAAGGTAGACCAGTTCTTACTTGCATTTACATTCGTTTCTTTATGACATCACTGATCACGTCGGTTTTCTAATAATAAATTATGCTTACAATAACAATTATATTTTTCATTATTAAACCTATTCTCAATACAGAAACGTACCTGTACCTATTTCACCCAATGCAACGCTTTTATGTCATACCTAGACGATACAAAACTCTAAAATCGTCTACCATGTGTCTTATCGTAACATGATCTCCGTACTTACATTTAATACCTGGGTACATATGAAACTGTGTTAGTGGGACGAAAGACAGTAATAGATGGTGTCGCCCACACGAAACCACCCAAACACTCTTCAAGATGATTTATTTCTTATTTGAAATTACCAGTTGACAAAGTAGCTAATATTGCGATAGAGATTTTATATCTAATTATTACTTAAAAGTTTGCTTATTAATTCACTATTTGCTATTTGAAAAAGAATTAGTATAAATAATAAAAATGTTCAATATTTTAACAAAATTATTAATATAAAACATAACAAAATAGAATCGAATTAATTTTGAAGTCAGTTTACATTTATTTAGGTGCATATTATGAGCTAGTACCTATTATGAGTACAATAATGACTACAATAGTTAAAATAATACTTACAGGAAATTGCTGATAAAAGCAATTATTATTTGTTAACAATGACTTAAACCTTTGTTTGATTACAAAATGACATCAATGAACCGATGAAGTGTGTCTGAAGATTATTGATAGATGCATATCGCAACCATTGTAGTTCGGAATCAAATGATACATAATCTATACCAAATTCTACTTTCCTTATAGCATCATTTAAGATGTACCCCTATTAAAATATTTATTTTGACAATAAAATGCCAAGTATTGAAAAAACATCACGCTATAGTATTGGAAAAACATCACGCTCTTGGCAGCCATTGCTTCAATTTTTGTTTTTGTTCTGCTTTTTCTCTTCTCCCTCTGACTTACGAACTTTTTTTACGAGGTTAAAAATCATCTATAAATATGCTAGAAGTGTATTGGATTCATACAAACGAACGAGTAAAAATTGATTAATATCTACACATATATGATATATTATATTATATCACAATTATCATCCATTCATCGAACAAACTACTCCTTTACCTAAGATTCCTGCCACAATTCTTTTATTTACTGAAATAGATTGATCAAATCATACAAAAATGTAGGTACCACAATATATTGTCTGGGATAAATATGTACAATCGTTTATGATTTTAATAAATGCAATAACTGCTAAAATTGCACAGCTGAAGACGTCAAATTTACCCCTCAAACTGATTACGAGTAGACACATTGTTACAGCTTCATTAATTTATAAGAAACCATATTAATGTGTGCTAATGTTTTGTGTAATAACTAACATTGAAAGAGATAAATGAAAGGCCTATGGAATAGTGTGACCATGTGAACATATAACATCTATGGATAACTTTCACGAAATCGATCAATAAATTATAGAGTAAAGAACTCATTGTTTCGCTGACGCCCTACATTATTATGTAACATGATTGTCACGAGATAAAGATAGGATACGTTGTTAGTTACACTTCAAAAAGTGCCTATATAACTAGGTAGGTAATAGGTAGGTAATATCTATATATATTTCATAAAAGATAAAATATTATTTTTTTTGTCGCGCAGTGAATTTTTTTGTAGTAATAGCCAAAACATTAGTTTATTAAATTTTTTAAATACAAACATATCACACAAAGTTACAAACTTATAGTTATGTGTAGATATACTTTGAATATTGATAGTCATTGTGTAATT